AACCTCACGTCATAAAAACAGTTTTTTCCCATCTGCTGTTGGCCTCCTCAACAAGGCCAAGGGCTTAAAATGACTTTTACACTTAAAATGACTGTTACACTTACTATAACATTTTATCTACATAATTACACCTTTCCATACTTACAACGTGTAATCTTATTTGTATTTTTGTATTTTAAGATTGTTTAATACGGCTAATTAACATTTTACATTCGCATTTTATAAGGTCTACTTATTCATAATTTTAAAGATTTTAGCCCTTTGGTATTACTTATACTTTGTAACGTTAGTATAGTTAGAGTGTATACCTTTTATATAAGTTAAGATTCCTACTTGTTCAATGTATGCACCGTCCCGCCATAGTGAATTCCTTGTTTGTGCAAACTTACATGGCGATTAAAACCGTTTCTGATTTCTGATTTTCAGTACATTTACTCCTCTACTTACGAACACTCGACTTACGAACTTTCAGAGATACGAACAAACCTGTCCGTATGTCCAGTTGCCTGTTCGGACCGAGTTTTTAAAGAGAGTAGAGAGGAATCACGGGCACCATAAGGAATTAGCATCTACATTCGCAGACATGAAGAACCAATGGCATCTACATCAGCAGAACATGAAGACCAATGGCATCTACATCAGCAGAACATGAAGAACCTGTGGCATCTATCTACAGGAGATTGTACATTTTTTAAAAAGCCATTCCCCGTGTTTAGTGTACATGCCGTACAACATGTTTGGAATCGACAGGATTAAAGTTGGACTTACGAACAAATCGACTTACGAACATACCTCTGGAACTATACAATATCCTAAAGTATAGTACACACACACACACACTCTAACCATTTAAGAAAGCCACTACTGTTCGTGAGCTTTTGTCAAGAGACATTCTACTATTTAACCAAGACGATTAAACCGTTCCCTTGCAATACATTATCATGTATCCAACAGTGGGGAAAAGGTTATTCAAATATAAATACAGGGTGCTTCAAAATAATGTTAACACTTACATGGGACTATCGTTTTTAATGGAAAAATAACGGATAATACACTGTAACATAACAAATGTATCTCAAAAGCTTAAAAAAGTCAAAGAATCTCCACTTGTTCGCCATCATTGTCAACACATCAAGTTTCAAGTTTCATTTATTAGGTATAACCCTGTGAGCCATTCGGCTCTTGAATCGGGTGCAACCGCAACAAACAAAAAAACAAAAACATGAACAAGAAAACATCTTAAAGTGACTATGTGCAAACAGAAAATCCAAGAAAAGACAGCAAAAAAAAGACAGTAACATGCCTGGAATCTTCTCCAGGTGGCGGTTTGGAACCGGAGGTAGACACCCCAGGCCCCCAGTGGGGGCTGGGGGATTACGCAATAGTTCAGGTCCCTCCAGAAGGTTCCAGAGAGTAGGCGTGGCCAGGCGCGGAGTGACCCTGGGAGCTGTATATAAGGCGGGTTCGCCAGTCGTCGTCAAGCTGAAGACTGACGAGGCAGCTTAGACTAGGACCCTGGGAACCCCCGGACCCAACGTCCTTCTAAGAGCCAGGGCTGAGTGGGCCAGTGGTCGGACCCTGGGAAATCCCCGGGACCCGACGTCCGTCTAAGGGCCGGGACCCAAGGACCTTGGCTCGGTGGGGTCAGCTATCCTCCCCTAGGTCCCCCTAGCTGGAGGGTTGATTTATAAAGAGGAAGTGGTCCCAGTGATGAGGACACGCTAGCCTGGAAGCTATACCTCCCCAGGTAATCGGGTGGAAGGGGCCGATACCCGTTTGTGTCAGGGACCTTGTGTTACCATTATAGTTGTTATAAATAAACGTGTTGCCTCCAAAGAAGACTGAGTCTCCATCATTGCCACTACACATTAACAAAAAATATGGGGCTGTCTTGTTATATTTTAACTATCGGTTTGACTGCAAAGCGTCACATGCCTTCCAAAAGCTTCCTGATCATGTCTGGACATTCTTCAAACTGACCCTATTTACTCTCCTCACTCGTGAAATGTTAAAACCCAAGGTGCAGCAATCATTCGTATTTTTTTAAATTCAAATAATAATACGCAGGATTTAATCTCTCACCGAATATTTTCGTAGCCACTGGTAAGCATCGATTCGGCACGTGACCTGCAGACACAACTCTTTTGAGAGGTATATTAAATGTGGTGTGCCGGGTGCAGTATTCTTTTTTGGGATGCTCACCCATAAGAGAGATCCTGCTAAACCGGACCCTGATAAGGTAGTTGCTGTGAGCAAGTAACATTTACTTCAAACACTTTAGATCTTTTGGCCGATTTTCTCGATGAGCGAAATCAATCAACCTCAAATTTTATTTCATTTTTTTACTTATAAGCATGGATTTGAATACATTTGTGCAAATTGTTCCTTTTATAGACCTTCTGAAACAACAATAGTCATTATATATATATATAACTGTACTTGTGAATGTTAGCTGGTTATTACCACTCTCAATTCCCTTTCTCAAAATACCCAGAAACATTGGCAACATACAGGGTTTCGATTTTACTCCCAAATCGGAACTTCCCAAAATATTATTTCTGGTTTTTGGATTAAAAAAATTGTCATATTAGGATTCTACTCCCTTGATATTTCCAATTGCAGTATGTATTTATGTATGTTGAACTTCTTTCATACCGTACGTCGCAAACTGTGCGAATCCGAGGCGAGAGACAGTTTCACAGACCTAGATAAAAAAATAACAGATGAACATTTTTCCCCAATAGAATATTTGTTTAGGTACGTGCCAAATTAGTTTTCCTAATTATAAGCAAAGACTATTATAATTATCTGAGATTTTTTTTCAGTGGACAGATCATGGCTGACGGCCACTCCGCCATCCATGATCGCGCCGCGTTATTACTGTTGTTGAATTTCCGCAACGTGTTGACATCACACACATCCTTTGTCTATTTTCCGTTGTAACGCAGATTGCTATCTCTGTACAGCCCGACGGGTTCCCAAGGTCATCAGAGAAGTCAACCGAAACCGCGTCGTGAAGAGTGTTTCTGTGGCCCCAAGTCGTGACGCGTGTGTTGTTTCCATGACCTCGGCAGAAGGTGATGACAACGAGCAGCGACTGGCTTCACGGCCCAGGAGTGAGATGCGTTGAATCTCATCCAGTAGATTCGATGAGTTGGTGTAAATTTACTGACCACGATACGCTTTTATAAAATCAAAGTTCCTTTTTTCATTGTTGTTATCTTCTCCGTCTCTTCTGCGTGGTTTTCCCCGTGGGGTTTGTTTTGTTTGAACCCTTGGCTCGCTTGTACAATTGCTTTCGTTCTGAGGCTAAATATACGATTTTATGAATTCCTGGGTTTGTTCCCAACCAATACACCTAGCCGCACTGATAAGCATGGGTCAAACAACGCCCAAGATCGACAGTGTGCGGACGCAATGCATTGCTTCTAATACTAACACAGTGCGATTCTAATCCCGCACCTTCGATCAGCGCGTACGGTGCGAAAGAAGTTTAACATGCGTACGGTTGTTTACATTTTTATTACACTTTTTTGTACTATTTATAAGTACTATACAGTATAATACTTTTACATTTTCAAAGTGCCACAATACAGTAATACACAAATACAGCCACCACGCTTGAATAACACAAAGCTCAAACTCAAAGGGAGATCTGCTTATACTGTGTTCGCTTAAACATCACAACATCAAGAAACGACGACTTCGTTTCCATATTTAATTAAAAACCACAACAACAACAACGGCAACGTGTAATTCACGTTTTCATTTATTTAATTCACAAAATCAAGAAACGACGACTTCGTTTCCATATTTAATTAAAAACCACAACAACAACGGCAACGTGTAATTCACGTTTTCATTTATTTAATTCACAAAATCAAGAAACGACGACTTCGTTTCCATATTTAATTAAAAACCACAACAACAACAACGGCAACGTGTAATTCACGTTTTCATTTATTTAATTCACAAAATCAAGAAACGACGACTTCGTTTCCATATTTAATTAAAAACCACAACAACAACAACGGCAACGTGTAATTCACGTTTTTATTTATTTAATTCACAAAATCAAGAAACGACGACTTCGTTTCCATATTTAATTAAAAACCACAACAACAACAACGGCAACGTGTAATTCACGTTTTCATTTATTTAATTCACAAAATCAAGAAACGACGACTTCGTTTCCATATTTAATTAAAAACCACAACAACAACAACGGCAACGTGTAATTCACGTTTTCATTTATTTAATTCACAAAATCAAGAAACGACGACTTCGTTTCCATATTTAATTAAAAACCACAACAACAACAACGGCAACGTGTAATTCACGTTTTTATTTATTTAATTCACAAAATCAAGAAACGACGACTTCGTTTCCATATTTAATTAAAAACCACAACAACAACAACGGCAACGTGTAATTCACGTTTTCATTTATTTAATTAACAAAATCAAGAAACGACGACTTCGTTTCCATATTTAATTAAAAACCACAACAACAACAACGGCAACGTGTAATTCACGTTTTCATTTATTTAATTCACAAAATCAAGAAACGACGACTTCGTTTCCATATTTAATTAAAAACCACAACAACAACAACGGCAACGTGTAATTCACGTTTTTATTTATTTAATTCACAAAATCAAGAAACGACGACTTCGTTTCCATATTTAATTAAAAACCACAACAACAACAACGGCAACGTGTAATTCACGTTTTCATTTATTTAATTCACAAAATCAAGAAACGACGACTTCGTTTCCATATTTAATTAAAAACCACAACAACAACAACGGCAACGTGTAATTCACGTTTTCGTGTATTTAATTGTTTCAATAACACTGGCAGTGGCTCGCTGTTGTAGTGTCCACAGTGCAGCAGCATTAGTGTATTCGCCACGTCATCCACATCATGACAAGAAACTGGGAAGTGAAGTCCGGCATTGTTGTCGTGTACGTAACCGCAGCTTTCCGAAAGTTACGCGTATTAGGAGGATGCGTGGCGAGTGACTCATTCAGAAAGGCTACGCACACGCGTACACCCTTACAAACACACCCTGATGGGGGCAACCCCAGTACCTCCGTATATAAACACACACACAGCGAGGGAGCTGTCCACGACAAAAGGGCTTCATCACATCTTCTCTTCCCTTGCCAAGACTCAAGAAAACGTAGTCATTTCTCGCAAAGCGGGCGAACTATAATAGTAGCCACAACACCGTTTACGTATATACACCCGTGCCGCTATACAACACCGCCGACACACACGCACGCACACACACACGCGCACGCACGCGCACGGGCTGTACAGGTGAGCGCAGGTGATCAACAAAGACGCCCCCGCGCAGCACAGCCATGCAAGCCACCAGCAAGTACGTGGCGATGGACTGCGAGATGGTGGGAACCGGCCGCGGCGGCACGGAGAGCGCGCTGGCTCGCTGCAGCATCGTCGACTACAACAAGCGCGTACTCTACGACGAATACGTCAAGCCCGAGCAGCCCGTCACCGACTACCGCACGCGCTTCAGCGGCATCCTGCCCCGTCACCTGGTGCACGCCACGCCGTACGAGGAGGCGCGGAAGGAGGTACGGAGGAAGAGACGCGGGGGCATGGGGGCACGGGATGAAGTGCCGGGCGCAACGGGAAGTGTGGGACGCTCGTTTGTTTCAAAGCGCTTGCTGCTCGTTGATGAATTCGTCATCGTAATTATCAGTGTCGATTGGAGCCACACCGGTGGATGAATTCCGGCTGCTGCTGCTGTTGTTGTTGTGGTCCGTCGCGGGGTAGCGATGTACTGTATTGATAATAATTCGCCTACTAACTGCAGCATCATCACTATCAGTCATGATCAATCCACTGCTGGATGAAGGCTTCCCCCCCTGCCTGTAGTTGTCCTCTGTTATGGGCCAGTAATGTGATAATACTAATAATTCACGTTGCTTCTACATTTTAATTGTCGCAGTCGGTCTTGATGAATCGACTGTTGGATGAATTTATCCCCAAGCTATTGTCATCTGTCACGGGCCTACGATGTAATTATAATTCACCTATCACCTGCATCATCACCATCGCCATCAAACTGAAGACTTGGAAATATTTCGTACCGGGCACACAACATTTAGTGTAGGATACCTTTCGTTATGGGATCTGGATAATTGTCAACAGGCTCACCTAGTCGACCAGCGGCCCAGAACATATTCCGTGAAAAATAAAGCCCTGGGTTGTATTACCTTTAACATGTAATGACACTGTGCAAAGAAGGCTAGAGTAACTTATTGTGTTTAAGTGTTATTTCAATAATAATTGGTCGTATGATACGTCCTGTGGTACCGCCATAGTAATGTGGATTTAACAGGCTCTGCGAAATGAGGTACGAACACAAATGGCATGAATTAAAATGAAGTTTTCAGTTCTTCATGTCACGGCAGCTTCTGTTTATTCAGGTGCAGTGTCTGAGCAATGTAGTGCCGAGGACCTGTTTCTGTGCGCATAAAATACGAACTTTAAGTGGTAATTTACCCCCATGGGGTTTTCATTCAAAGTGGTATCAATTAAGGCGTAAAATCAATAAAGTGTTTGAATCATATTCTTAGGTGTTTTCGGTAAAGTCACGTAGGTAAAACATCAAAATTAATAAAATAATAAAATAAAATAAAGATCACGACGTTTCGGAGGCAACACAATCAACCAGCTGCTGAGCAGTAATCGGGTGACGTGGATACTTAGACTGGATATAATCTGTGTACTAAGGTAAGCAGACCTGAAGTTTATGATGGATATACGAGGGCACTTTTAACATCTAATTACCTTGGATTTCCCGAGATATGAACAGACGCCACCTTGTCAATGATTGAAGCATTACATCATGATTGTATAGACATACAGTAATAAGGTACACAAATGTTGTTCCAACAGCTGATCCCGCTTCTTTGATGATGTGAGCAGTTGTTTCTTTGGGTTAGTTATTGCCCATTTTGCAAACTTCAAAAGGGCACTTCTTCATCAAGTGTGACAGCGTGAGCATCTACATCCTCATCTGAGAAAATATTTGTTCGCTGGGGTATGCGATCTTTTTTTGTTTTGCTGCAGGGATCTGCATATAATCCCTCCATTAGTTTTAGATTTTACGTCTCCGGCATACGTTATGAATTGACCATCGCTCTGTAATGGATTCCTATTCGTGATTTACTAATCATCGTTATTGCGTTGTATTATTTACGGTCTTTTCTCATGCTTTGCCTAATTGTTTTTCAAAATTACGTCCAATGGTTTTGCTTAACGCCTTTCATTTGGCACAATCATACATTTTCATATTATTACATTTTCTTCCACATGCTTTTTGTGTTCTAAAGTAATTAACGAATCCTCTTTGTTTAATTTCCCCCTAACTTCAGTGAGCCGTTCCATTGCAATGCTACACACAGTCACGTAATTACCAAGCGGAGAAATCATTACCAAAGATTAGTAGGAACTAATAACACAAAGGCTCAAGCAAATATTTGTAAGCACAGCGTACACACGCTCTACAGCACAACGTGCACCTGGAGCATAGCTAGTAAAGTGAATATTGACTCGAGACTCGAGATGACATATGCCTTTCTATGGCTTTGGCATTTCTCTGTGAGCAACCGGTTTAAACTGGCGAACGGTATCGCTGATGTGTTTATTGAGACTGGTGTGCGTGCCCCAGTGTTTGTGGGTAGCAGAGGGTTCAACAGTTAGCGCGCTGCGCTCCGCTACGAAGCGAGTTCGATTCCATCTCACGGCCAACATTGGTGACGATTATCTCAACCAGTCCTGGGCCCTCCCCCCTAGGTCGACTCAACCTCAAATGAGTACCTGGTGCGGTGTGTAAACATCGTTACTCCGGAGACAAAAGGCAGCCGGGCGTGGTGCTGGTCACCCACCCCCTCGTGTGCCGTTCCGGCCTTCATAGGTGCTACTCGCTAACAGCAATTATATCCAACAGCTTGTTGAGGCTATACGAGGGATCTTTGTCTTTGTGAGGCCAAGCGAAGTAGTCAATTCATAATTCCTCTACCACCTGCCTCCCCCAAGTGCCTCTGAATTGCTTCGAGTCAAAAGGTATTTTGCTCATCAAATACTCATTACTGCATTTTTGTCGATCCACTGCTGGATGAGGGCGTCCGCATGACGTGCGGGTCGTGGGGGAGGCCATATCATTGCGGGTTGCTGAAGGCGGGGGGAGCGCAGACACGAAGGCATATGAGCACAGTACGTCGAGTAGAAAGAACAATGTAATGCATTTGCTGCACTATCCTCTGCTGCCCGCCACGTAGCCCTGCAAAGCCTATAACAACCTGTTGCGTGTGATGGTCACCCATTCAAGCAGTGTCCAGGCTCAAACCGGCTTAGCGTTTGGGATATGACGAAATCAAGGGCATCCCCGGCTATTTGATAATAATCTTGATTACTTATTGCTTCGTTACCGCAACACTTTTGTAATGCACGTTTTTCTCCATTCAAAGGTTTATGTCGAAACTCTTTCTGCCTTTTACATGAATTGTAGTTTTACAATCTCCCTGTTTTCCAAGTATGGCGCTACTTTTTATAAAGGGGAAATCCCTTGCCCTTACTTTGATTTAATTGTGGTTTGCATGACGCCATGCCATCCGTCATTTCAGTGACACTTCTAGGTAATCGTTTATCATTTATATTAGTAGTGTATCACACTTTTAGACTACAATTTCCAATTCCTAGCATATCAGGGTTAGCTTTAGGGTGAAAGTTTCGTGTTATTCATTATTCATTGTGTTGCAAACAATGACATTGTGGTTGCAGAAATATCTTAATTTTGATATGAACTTATATTGGCAGATTTCTGTTTCATACATAGGGCCTTAAAATAACCATATGGGTCTACAGCAATACAATATGGATTTATCTAGCATCTCAATGCAACTGCATCTTAAGATGCTGTACACAGCAGAAGGCATAATTAAGTGTATAGAGATGTATGCCATTATTTTTAACTCTCTGTACATATTTCGATTTAAAGCTTTCGTGACTGCAGGGATTCATCTTCTTGGTTCTTTCGGTAAAGTCATGTAGAAGGGAAGTAATACAATAATTAATATTATATTATTATATTCTTTTATTATATTAAAATATTATTAGATTATATTATTATATTATTTTATTATGTTTTATTTTTATGTTTTTATTACTTCCCTTCTACGTGACTTTACCGAAAGAACCAAGAAGATGAATCTCTATACATAATTAAATGTACTTGGATACATTATACAGGCTAACACCACATATACCATTCGAGAATATTGACAAATTTGAACTCACATGTTGATGAAACTTAATATAATACAATATTTCAATGTTTTCTTTCTTTAAAAGCTTCAAATCAAGATTTAAATGTCTTCTTTCAATTAATCCACCATGTGTTTCATCAACAATGCTGATCAGATGGCATTCTTAAATACAGGGGCTCCTCTACTTACGAGCACTCGACTTACGAACTTTCAGAGATACGAACGAACCTGTCCGTATGTCCAGTCGCTCGTTCGGACCGAGAGTCGTAAGTTCAACTGCTGCGCAATAGATGGCGGTGGTGTCATCTACATCTGCAGAACATGAAGAACCAGTGGCATCTGCATCTACAGGAGATTGTACAACTTTTAAAGCCATTCGCTGTGTTGAGTGTACATGCCGCACAACATGTTTGGAATCACACAAGTAAAGTTGTTGGACTTGTAAACAAATCAACTTACGAACAGACCTGTGGAACCTAACATGTTCGTAAGTAGAGGAGTCCCTGGAGTCTAATGTTCCAGGCCATGGAAATTACTTTTTACCGAGCTGGGGGTGATGGCCCATTCCTGTGATCCGGAAACATCCGATGCAATTGTTGGTGGATTCCACATATTTGTAAAATTCCCAAACATTCTGGGCTGCGAGGTGTCTTGGATTGATTTGTTTTTGCGCTTTTGTTGTTATCCCCTCGTGTATGTGGGTAGTTCTCCATGTACTCTGGTTTCCCCCTACATGCCCAAACTCTCATTAATGGAATTAGCCAAAATATCGCATCACAGCCACCGTTGCAGAAATCAACTCAAGACTCAATGAGGCTTTTCTGAGTAAACAAAAGGCATTATTATCATAATTTTTTTTGGCAAAATTATAAACATTGAAGCATATAATTCAGCAAATGGTTGCCACTTGTTTGCTTTGTGATACCCCGATATTATTGAGTTTAGTTTGGATATTTATTTAATTTTATACCTCTCATATAATTTGCACTCTTATCGTGTTCTTGAATTGTTTGTTGTTGTAACGTTCTGACCTGCCCCGACTGGACATCTGTGAACAAGAGCTTTATAGCTCGTCGGATTCCTCCAGTCTAAATAAATATTCTGATTCTGATATACAAGGTGTCTTATTAAAATGTCAAACAATGCCACGTAATTATTAAGAGACAGGGCTAAGTGCGTTCCTGGCTCATGCGTATGCACCACATGCCCCGCAGATCAAGAAAATCCTGGAGGGAAAAATAATCATCGGCCACGACATGCGGCGGGACTTCTCAACCCTGGGCCTGAACATCCAAATGTTCGACACGCGTGACACGTCGCTGTGCGAGCCGCTGCTGAAAAAGGCAAGGCTCACCGTTGGCAGGAGAGCGTCGCTCAAAAATCTAGCAAAGATCCTGCTCTCAATCCAGATCCAGGTAAGGCTGCCTCGCTACCACACAGGTTTTCCACGGTTGATCTCTATCGCTATCTGATGTGATTCGTTTTCTTTCCACCCCCCCCCCCCCCCGGTTGTACCGCCAATTGTTCAGCGTGATGTCCGGCGTGGTGGTCAGTTGCCTCCGTATTGCTCTTCTATTGCTACTACCATGGTTGACTGTTCTCATTGACTTCGCTCATTAATTCCTCTGCCCATGTGGGGTGCTCTCTTTAGTAGATGGTCTTCTTAATTTTCATTGACACTTTTAACCACCAGACTGATGGTCAAAGACACTTCCCGTTCTGTTTCTTTCCTTGCTCTGCTCGACTCTGTAGTTCCATCCCAGTGTCTATTTTCCCATGGTCTTAGTCCTAACCTTTGATTGTTGCTGGCCACTTGGCATTTTTTTGCCCTTTGGGCCTGTGCTCAGCAACCGTGATATAAAATAAATGAAAGTCCGGTTCCGTGAACGTGAGCGTTTTTTGCACATTGGATAATGGTTTTCGGCTGAGTCGGCCTCGGTGAGTATCCATTCAATGTCAAGATACAAATACCCCCTTCATGTGGCCGGAGAGGAACTGAGTTGTATTCACAAAGAAATACAATTGATAAGATCACGTTGTATTTAAACCGACAAAGTTGACAAAACAAACAAAAACAGATTTAAAACAATGCAAATGAGATGGTACAGGACGAAACGAACAATCTTATTCTTGAATTGAATCGTCATCCGAAATAGTGATTCTTTCTTTTAAGTTCCGTGAGTGGGTGGGGTGTGAGGGGCAGTGGATACGTTGTCACGTGCCTGCTAGACACAGGCAGGTCTGTGCATGCTGTCTATGCAAACAGTCATATAGGCATGTGATTATGAGTCAAAATACTGTAACTCACAGGTTCTACTGTCATCTGTCTGCCCATTCCAAAGTACTGTATCCAGTAAGGGATATGGAGTTTTTTTTTCGTTATTAAAGGTTTAAAATGGAAAAAAATAGCAGGTATAATTCTTTTGAGGATGAAATCCCTATTCATATTTTTTTTCGATTTAAAGCTTTCGTGACTGCAATGATTCATCTTCTTGGTTCTTTCGGTAAAGTCACGTAGAATGGAAATAATAAAATAATAAAAATAAAACATTATATAATAATTCTCACGCCGTTTCGGCCACAACGCAAGCAGCCGTCCTCAGGTGAAGAACAGGTCTGTCATAAATACAGAGTCATTCAGACGCCGTCGTGAGAATTATTTTATTATGTTTTATTTTTATTATTTTATTATCACTATTCATAGTTTCATTAAAAAAATGGATGGTAATTCATAGCTATTTAAAAAATAACGTGGTAAGTTATGATTGGAGGAGTGCATCTCTTCAACAGCGTTTTGACCCTCTCTGAAAATGCCACACCGAGGTCTCGTGCTGCTTTGACTGTCGGTAGTTTTTGGAGTCTGTGTTTTTGTACCGTACAGGTAAAACCCGTTTTGTCAACTCACTGCTGGATGAGCACTTCCCCCATGCAGTGAATCACTGTGCCTCAGTCTCTATGCGCCCACTGCCTTTAGCAACCAGCCCATTCTAACATGGCGAGGCATGGTCAACCAGCAATAGATTGACTAAAAATCCTGTAAGCGTAAACAATAATTCTATCTTCTTGGTTCTTTCGGTAAAGTCACGTAGAATGGAAATAATAAAATAATAAAAAGAAAACATAATAAATGTTTATTTTATTTTATTTATTTTATTATTTCCATTCTACGTGACTTTACCGAAAGAACCGAGAAGATGAATCCCTGCAGTCACGAAAGCTTTCAATCGAAAAATAATTCTATCGATCTGTTTAATTCCCATCCCTATTCCCATCATCATCATCAGACACGCTCCATCCACGGCTCGATGAAGGCCTCTCTAAGCTGCTGCTGCCGCCGTCACCACCATCCCTCCCTCGCGGTATTTCTCATCCCTATGCTGTGCCCCCTTCTCCGTTGCACAACAGAACAGTTCAGAGGGGCACTGTTCGGTGGAGGATGCCAAGGCAGTCATGGACCTCTTCAGACTGGTGGACAAAGAGTGGGAGAGGGGTCCACACTCGTGGGCCGAGGCCCCACGCCCGCGGCGTTACCAGAACCGACGATACAACTTTGACATCGACTTCGAGGACTACAATAGCTGCAATGACTGTTGTGATGATGATGATGATTACTGTTTTGATTGATGATACGCTTAATTTGACAGGTGCCGTTGCGCATAACAACGGTTTACATTTTGAAGCACGTTTTCAAATTTAGCAATTCTTCATCGCACCTTGCTTTTTAAACTGTAGTCTTTAAGAGGAACCGATTTTGTCATGTTGTAAATGTGTACAAATCTTGAACATTTTACTGGAATGTGCCAGAGAATTAAATGTATAGTACTATATTTTTAAAGTGATAATTAAACGCGATCGAGCTATGTATATTTGTACACTGTTTTGTACGCTCACACAATCATACATTAAAAATATATTCACAAAATTGTGGATATGACCCATGGAGCCTTGGGCCCCGTGCTGCACATTGAACCCGGTCACTTGAGTTTGATTCCATGGTGGCAAGTTGTTAACTACCCCGCTTGAATCGACAGGCTCAGCAATGGCAGAGCCAGGATTTTCAGGTAGGGGGGGGGGGGCAACCCCTCCAGCAATTAAAAATTATAGGAGTTGCTAGTAAGTAAGGACTTGTTCCTTGCTTTTTAATCGACGCGTGTGCGGCGATGGTGCAGCCATCGATCGAGGGTCGAATTCAAACTGTGTGTGATCGGCATCGCGCTCCCTGAAGGTGAATGCCTTCAGGGAAGTCGTGTCCAGTATATGCAACTGCACACTATTCTGAGTCACTTATAACTGCTTTGCCCTTACTTATTGCCAATTATGGAATCAGACTATTGTCCTACGTAATAATATGCTACACAGTGGCAGTGGGGGTCGCAAAATGCTGACTTGTTACTACTAACCCCCAACGATCTGATCGAAATTAGGGATTTCGATCTGATCATTGGGGGGGCACGTGTCAACCCCCCCCCCCACTGGCTTTGCCAGTGGACAGGAGGTCGTGGTTTCGATCCTGACCCTGACGCCTGTATATTTGGATTTTGCATGTTCTCCCCGTGGTCGTGTAGATTTTTCTCCAGGTCCTTCCGTTTTTCCCTCCACATTTAGAAACACGTGTTTTGAGTATTTGGCTTATATAAATTTACACATGATAAGCCACTCCTCGTTGAGCTATCATTGGTGGCCACCATCACTTCTGAAAAAGATCAAAATAGCTCGGTGGGCCTTATCTGCTAAAATAAAAATAAATAGTTTATCGTTTAATTTTAGTTTTGGAATCATGCCCAAGGCAACATCAATGTGGGAGTGATATCGGAATGAGTCGGGGTCCTCCCCTTCAACCCGCACAAACCAGCATGGTGAAGCACAGCGAAACAGCCCACCACCCCCCCATGATCAAATTGTGTAGATAGGCCTTCAACCAGCAGTGGATTATTTTTACGGAAAAAACTGTCAAACAGAAAAATAAAAGCAACCCTCCGGGTGCTTTGCACATTCCGCACACCATCTCCAAACAGCCGGCGGGTCAAAAGAGACTTCACCTATTTTTTCTGATTGATCAGTTCATCAGCAAGAACAAATACTGCAATTTCACAGCACATGATTGTACTTGTTTCGCCAAACGCTGTCCCAATTATTACATGTTGCAAGGCACTCACTTTGTGTTCCCAGCCGCTGTGTTAAGGTACACGTGCTTTTTGCCTTTGATGGATTCACAAAGGGCTGCATCATCTGCAGATTATCATCTGCCAAAATGTGCCCAAGAATGGAATCCGAATCGCTGGTGTCGGAGCTCGCCGTTGCCATGTGCTTGCACGCCATATAGACCTGCACATACTACTGCGATGCATACTTACAATGTAGAACAAAATATAACTTGCCACTGAGGTATTGGGCCTGTAAATGTGTTAACAGAAGCAAGAGCAACCGTGACACGTGGAGTAAGTCTTCATTTTATTGGTTCTTTCGGTAAAGTCACGTAGAATGGAAATAATAAAATAATACAAATAATAAAACATAATTCTTATGTTTTATTTTTTATTATTTTATAGTCACGTAGAATGGAAATAATAAAATAATAAAAATCATTAAACATAATAATTTATTATGTTTTATGATACGTGACTTTACCGAAAGAACCAAGAAGATGAATCCCTGCAGTCACGAAAGCTTTACATCGAAATTTAAGTCTTAATTATTACATTGTTGGAATAATTAGCAATCATGTCTACATAACTAGGTCACCCATAGAAAAATGTACCATCCTGAGTGAGTTCACTGGATGAAGGTCTCTCCGTGTTGTGGGGGTCATGGGGGTTTGACAATGCTTGAGCATGCTAGCCAGCAAGGGTCAGCTAAGGGTGGAAGCCCAGGAATAATAGTTTTAATAAGTGGTGTGTAGCGGCCTCTAGTGGTTGTTAATATCACATTAACCAATAAAATCATGATTCTTGGCCATAATTTTCGATGTTATCTATCGTGGACATTCCTATAAATGTTTATGAATCGTTACACCGCTGATAGCTAGTAAATGTATACATGCTTGGCTAGTAGGACAAATTAGTAATTTGCTAAATGCTAACACGTGCTTTCCTTAGTCCGCTAATTGATTAAAGAGTGGGATGTTGAAGCTAAGAGCTTTAGTGTATGCTTTATAATTCCCCACAATAGATGTGACATCTAAGGTGACTCGATCATGCATACCACCCATGGTGTTCCTACCTGTTGTATTAAATGTGAAAGCTTTTATCAGTTGATTCGATTTATCTCGTGCTAAATAAGGGTGGTTGGTATTCATGACAATGTTTTCATCACCAGTTGTTTTTAATAAAGCGCAAACAACAACTGGACTGTTATCTTGAAGTACATATACAAATACAACAGGAGCCGGTGGTATAATTCGTAATTATTCAGTACCAAAGTGACGCTAAGGTGGTGCATAACAATCCACGGCAAATGGTAAATATGTGATCAATTACAGAGATGCCTGATGCCATTGTTTTTTAGAGGGACTGAACCCAAACGTGAGGCTTTAGTCCAAAGTCCATGCTCGTAAAAGCATTTTCGATGTATCTGGTCAGGAGGACACATTGCAACGTTGAGCTCATCTTTATTGACAGCACTATCACTGTTGCTGATGCAAATTACGTACACTAAACTAAAAAAAACTACGTGGGCCATGGGCCAGAGATGAAATCTAATATTTGTTGTAGCAATTCGGTGAAAGTCCTGCCCAAGCCATCACCATACCCCCTTCATGGCCCGCCGATGTAACAATCCACCTTGCACCTGCACACACGCGGATTCCATTGCTCAGTTTCCTCTGTGGATGTGGCTGATCATGATTATTGATATTCTTCATCACCAGCTGTCGTCCCTTCGAGGGATGTGCCCCGCGAACGCCCACCTATGAACGTTGTCATTTACCTGAATATGTTGTAAACTCATCTTCTTGGTTCTTTTGGTAAAGTCACGTAGAATGGAAATAATACAATAATAAAAATAAAACATAATACAATTATTTTCACGACGTTTCGGCCACAACGCAAGCAGCCGTCATCAGGTGAAGAACATGTCTGTCGAGAAGACAGAGTCTGAATTTATTATTTCCATTCTACGTGACTTTACCGAAAGAACCAAGAAGATGAATCCCTGCAGTCACGAAAGCTTTAAATCGAAATGTTGTAAACTCCCATGTGTTCCTCTGTCTCAACAGTGCGGTTCACATCAAGCTTCTGCGACTATGTCGGATTTTTAATTCGCACCACCTGAGTGGCAAAGATTTAATTAGCTCTGTGCTGTATGTGTAGTAAATACAGAGGGGGACTGTTGGTCACAGATTGTGCGTGCTGAACGGTTACCAATTACGAAATTGGATGTGCGTTTTGTACTGCTGCATGAGTGAACAAGCCGTTTCGAGATTGTCCTTTGGACGGGGTGATTGTGACACTTGGTAATGAAAAAAACCGCATAGCGTGAGGGAGGGACCTTGAAACTCAATGAAGCTTCGCCCATCCACTGGCAGGTCTCTTTATTTTTACATTAGCTGCAATGTCACGGTGTCCGCCAGGAGGCGCCACCGCTCATTGCAATTCGGTTTGGTGAAATATTTTGTTGCCAGTTTTTTCCTCTCACAAGACGAGTCCTCAATAATATAGGTTCCCTGGTTCATACCTGCAACCAGGCCTCGGCAAGGGAAGGTAATTGTACCCTTTTTACCGGGTCAACGGGTAAAGGTAAAGGTGTCGACATGCCAAGGGGTAAGGGTAAAGGGTAGGGTAGAAGGTAAGCTCGTTGCTTTTCACCTTTTACCTTACCTGCTAAAGGGTAAAAGGTAGGGTAGAGTGATTGTATTGTGGCAAGGTAAAAGGTAGGGTAAAGGTAGGCTCGTTGTTTTTACACGTTTACCTTACCTTGCCGAGGCCTACCTGCAACTCTGGGCATTTATAAGGGACAAAATTACTCTCGTGTGCCGAATAAGGCATGCCGGTTTGTAACCATAATACACTGTCGTCTTCACAGTACATTGTTACATTTCCTTCCTGTGACTGTCATTCGAAACCAGTCGGCCTTTGTTGTGCCGGTGTCACGGTCCTAATTGACCCGCAAATTCCTCAACTGGGATAACAAACAGCAGCATCGCCCCTACTGTGAAACTACCGTAGACTACGTCTGTGAAACATACCACCCCTTCCTTCGTGATAGCCTTGTTGCCGTAAGAATGGCCTTAATGCAAACTCTACTCACACTATATCCCGGTGATCATAGTTCAGAGATGGGCAGTATCTAAATTACATGTACTTTAAATACGTAATTTCATTACAATAGAAATTGGCATCGAAATAACGCATGTTCAAAGTGATTTATACGTGTACTTAAATTAAACGAGGCGTGGTTAGTCGATTATTTAAAGCTAAATGACATTCTCGCCAATAATTTTTAATTTCAAGATATTTTGCCCATCTAGAAAAAAAATGTTGTGCATCTCTTACGAGGCGTTCAAAAATCCTTTGGAATTGTAAAGAAAAAAACCATCCCACGGTGCTGACCTACAATTGAATGTTTATACATGTGTTCACTTGCATGCAATATATTAACCTCAGGGATGGCATCAGGAAATTCCTCTTGTCAAATCTTCCCATATTTGTGGTTTATTTGGTGGATAGTTTAGACATGCCCATCAAAGTTTATAAGTCGTGAAAAAAATCCCATCAGTGCGCAGTGACAGGTAAAACTATACATTGTCAATTGTCTAAGTGGACACATGGGGGGGGGATCGATAATTACATGTTACTCACACGTTCACACGTAAAAACACTTATTTTATGAAAGTTTTTTATTAGTAAAGTTCAATTACCAACGGGGTATTTCTGATGATATTGTACAGTAATGTGAATGATTGTTATGGTAATACAGTACCGTATACGAATTCTGACTTCAAACATTACACTTTGACATTGTGAGAGAATTGGAAGGCGTGTGTGTGCACAAACGTAATAAATAAAAGCTACTGAAATAAGCCAAAGTGGCCTATAAATGTAAAACAAAGTCTAAAATAGCATGCTCATAAGTTAATAAAACAGAGGCGTGTAATTTCGCCCCAGTAATTGACACTTTATGGTACAGTGCTCCCTTGCGAGTCTCAAGTGGAAGAGAGTCTTTTCCTCAATGGGCTCACACATACAGCCCGTTTGTGTTCGTCTACTGCTGTATGAATGCCACTCCACACCATGAGGGCTACTTTACCATACATCACACTGATCAGTGCATTCTGGTGGTGGGAATGTGCATAATTATGGGTATTATGGACTGCCCCTCTACACCTCGCTTGTACAAATGGTGGTCACCATTGCAAGCAATATCCAGGTTCAAAACCTGCTTGGCTTACCAGTTCTGACAATATTGGGTGCAATTCGGGTGACGTGGTCGTGGGGCTTTCGCCTGCTCATAATTTTTTAAAGTGACATAGGCATATTCTATCTTTCCGTTTGTGTAAAATAGCTTGGTTGATGGCCTTCAACAAGAAGTGACGAAAAGGAAATACAATTCCATAAATTGCATGTTAATTGTCATGACGTTTTAGCCACACCTGCCACAAGCCTCTTGCAAAACCCCACGAAGCAGGCTAACAGAGGTTCATCATTCTCTTATCTCCCGATGAGAGTCTCATCGGGCATAAAAGTACGCCCAGGCAGCAAACAAATGAGAGCAACAATGAATCTACATTTCTATAAAGTGAACGGTGATACTGTGACCATAGGCTATTTTCAACCAGCATGCCTCGTATGTCAAATGACACCACCATACTGCGTGTGTAACACACAACAACCTTGCTTTAGACCAAAATAAAATAGACAAAGGGCAATTTTGGATCTCTTTGTCTAGCACAAGGCTATTGTGCATTCTACACAAAGTATGGTGATGTCATGTGACAAGAATCACAATAAGTCTTTGACACCGTCCACGTGGATCGGGTTGCGTTAATGAATGCAGCAGTCGACGACTATTTAGTAATTGCAGCATGTGCGCATACACACATACACAAGTAAAAACAAAGATTAAAAAAAACACCCGAATGTATGTTCAGCTTCTTTCGCACCCAACGTAGCCGACCGCGCTAATTGGAGGTGCGGAAAGTTGGCAATTGGATTCGGGCTTTCGCCAAGTTTCGCTTACACATTGATTGGTCATGTTATTTACACGCCAGCCATGACGATTGAAGCTCAATACAGAATGATAACTTAAAACATGAACAGACTATACACTGTTTTTGAATGGGGTGTTTTCAACCAAATCTTACGTAAGAGTCAAACGGTTGGAGTTAAGCCTACAAATGGAACTGGTCGAGTTTGTGTGAGTGAATGAATGAATGTCACGGCACAAAGCGTTCGGCAATAAACCAGCAGCCTATAGGAAGCACGAGCGGGTCGCGGCATGCCCCGTCGTCTGCATAATAAATACACATTCATCTTCTTGGTTCTTTCGGTAAAGTCACGTAGAAGGGAAATAATAAAATAATAAAAATAAAACATAATAAAATAATATAATGAAATAAAATAAAGTAATAAAATAATTATATCATATATTTTTATTTGTATTAATTTATTATTTCCCTTCTACGTGACTTTACCGAAAGAACCAAGAAGATGAATCCCTGCAGTCACGAAAGCTTTAAATCGAAAAATATATACATTGTTACCGGACGTGTCGCAGCACATCATCAATGTTGTCTACAACGTGCATCCCTTGGTCCATCCACTCACCGATGGACAAGGGCCTTCCCATGCCGTACGGGTCTGAGGGGGGTTATTTGACCATACTTCTCCACGCTGGCGTGCGCATTCGCGTAAAAGCTAAGTGTTGTTGCGCCGTTACCACTGCGTTATAACACGAATTTTGTGTTGATTGCCTGTCGCGTGCGTACAAAAAAAAACCACGACCATTATTCACTTCCAACGGTTAATGCCTTCTAGTTTCACGGTGTGGCAGTGGAAAGCAATGGGCACGCACGTTTCTCAAAACGCGCGCGCCCTCCACTCAACGATCCACGCGTGTGCTGGGAGTACGGTGTGGAGGTACACATCTCCACCACAGCGTCTCGCCAGCGTGGAAGAGTAGACCAACAACAACAACACCCTCGAGTGGACTACCGATTCCGTCCGGTAGTGGACGTGGCAAAGACATTGAAGGGTGCTCCACGGTGGTGAGATGTGAATTGCCTCGCCCGGTATACAGGGGATCGTGGGTTCGATCCCGATCCCAGGCGCCTGCATATTTGTAGCTTGTATGTATCTCTCGCCGTGGTCGCGTGGATTTTTCTCCCGGTCCACCGGTTTTTTTTCTTTCACCCTCCACATTTAGACACACGCGTTTCGAGTATTTGTCCACTATTAATGTCCACATTTGCGGCCACGTAGCTTCTGAAAAATAGCTATATAGCTCAGTGAGCCTCACCTGCTAAAATAAAAACAACCGATTATACTTTAGTTCATTACGAGGGCAGCACATTCCACCTTTGGACGCATTTGACCTCTTTAAACAAAGCGCGCGCACGTGTAATTTTAGCCACCCAACCAGGCTGCTTATTGTAAAGCAATAATCGCCTCCTTCAAATGTCCGTTCTCATTCGCTCGCGTTGCTTTTCGTTCACTCTCGAGCACTCTGTGCTCTCTTACCGAATTGTGAATTGTGCAAAAATTACACTCCACATCTCGTCGTCATCTCTGTATCGTTCCAATGTTACAGCAGTACACGCTTGTGTACCGTTTCGTCCCGTAGCCAGGAGAGAGGGCGGAATGAAATCAACTCGTGCGCAGGTGCCAAGCTGGAGTGCTGACATCGCAGGAACGTCCGAGATGGGGTCGGCTTGTGGAGCCCTTCATCCAGCAGTGGACTGATCGTGGCTGATGATGACGCTGTACATCATTGATCGTTGCATGGGGGGGTGGGGGTGAAAGAAAACGATCACTGCCCTCTGCTGGCGGCGAGAGGCTGATCCCCGTAGTTCACTCTTCACGCGTGCCAGCCACAACCATCCACCTTCGCTGGCCTCCCACCCACGACGTTTCGCGCAGCAAAGCCATGGCTCCGGCAGGATCGGCCTGTCTCTCGACGGTGCATGCCACGTGCAGGCCGTAACGGATGCCCTCCCCGCATGCTTCGTCTTCGTGTCTCCTATCCAATCTATGTAGTCTCTTGCACAATATTCTGCGCAGGCCACCGCTTCTGGCGTTGCCGAATCTTCTTGACGAGCGCACTGTGAAAGCCGCAGGGCATCTCAGGAGATGATCTTTCGTGGTTTGTGTCTCCTGACAAGCAGAAGGCCCGTGATTTCATGAGAGAAGTTGCATCTGCCGACACCCACTCTCGCAGTCCGTTTAGGCTCCTTACGCTGCAACGCGTGCATTTGTATGTATTTATGTTGAACTTGAACTTCTTTCGCACCGTACGTAGGCAATCGTGCTAAGCGGAGGTGTCGCGAATAAGCCAGAGCCCCTTCGTGTTCGACTGCAGCGGGAGAAAACCGAGTAACCGGTATTGAACTTGGGACATTGTAACTTTGGGCCCACGTGTGTACGTCCACGCGTCGATAATTTACTTTAGACCGGTGAATACAATAGACTAGAGACTGATTGCCCTGTGCTGGGCACTAATATACAGTACTGCATAGTTTTGCTCGGGGATTCATTTCTCGTTAACATTCGCTGGGTGACTATTACGCTGGAGCATCGCAGGCACCCGGCTAGAAGCCACGACCACAGCGATTGGTAATACAGTTTCAAGGTATTGGGTGCGCAGTGTGTAGAGAATTATTTTCCTGGTCGCAGACCCTGGCTGAAGTGAAGCCCCTATTAGGTGAAGGCGAGGAAGCCAAAGCAGCGTGCCCATTGAAGTACCGTACAACAATGGCTGCACTGCCCTCTGCTGGCCATCACGTAATGGCCACAGTACAGTCGAGTAATCTATAGATGGTGACCCATCCAAGACACTATCTAGGGCTCAACCCTGCTGGAAATCTGATGCGATGGGGCACAGTCAATGTACTTTGGTCGCAGGCGGTACAATGTACAGCTCACGGATAGCAAAGCTGAGTTTTGATTGCAGTTTCTTTAGGTGGCGCTTCAAGTGGAGCTATCGTGAATGTTGACGTTTGGGCACGGATCCTTCATTTCCCCTGTCCTGTGTTTCAGCACTTGTTCAGCCCTTCCACGCGTGCCCATTTGCAGCGACACATTGCTTGCGTGTCAGAGGTTATGGACTGAATCATATTCCTCAGCTTCCAGTATAACGATGCGAGGGCTCTTCGTTCTTCTTTTAAATCTCCTAGGAATTGAAAAAAAAACGAATTGGTTATTGTGGGACATTATCCTTTGTGGGATGAGTCATGGATAGGAGGATTGTGTTGTGAGTGCACGAGAATGTGTATTGTTACAAACCACAATGGCACCCATTAATTCCAAGGGTTCCCCAAAGTTTCCCAACTCACGACCCACCTGGGTAGTCAGATACTCTGCTGGGACCCATGCCTATTCTGACAGTGCTAGTAAAAACATTGGAGGCCTGGTGATTACTATTGGAGTGGAGGCAGATATACAAACCCCTGTCAAGAAATGGGGTAATCTTACACATTGTGGAAGTCATGTAAGCTACAAAGGTGAATATCAGAGGAGCCATGGAGGTGTTATTACAGTGCAGCTCACTAGGTGATGGTTTTACAATGATGGTGTTATTGCACTGCGTGATGCTATTATTTTAACTGTTTAAACTAGTTTCTATTTGAACAGGTAAGGCCCACTCAGCTATATAGCTCTTCTTCAGAAGCGACCTGTCCACACATGATAGCTCAACGGAGTGGTTTGTCATGTGGAAATTTATAGCAGTCAAATACTATAAACGCACGTTTCTAAATGTCGAGGGAAAAACCGGAGAAAAATCCACGCAGGCACGGGGAGAGCAAGCAAACTCCCAATATACAGGCATCAGGGTCGGGATCAAACCCACGGACTCCTGTATACCAGGCGAGGTAGTTAACATCTCGCCACGGTGGCGCCCCCTAATATAGTGTAACTCACACACAGAGACACACACAGACATGGATAAACTCGCACATATACAAAACAGATACGGCGACACATACACAGAAACACACGGAGAAAAAGACACACAGAGATGCAAATACACTTGCAAGACATGGAGATAGAGACACGAAGATACACACAGATATGGAGACACTCACAGCCATGATAATAACTGCCATGCACGAGTGAGGTGACGTTCATTGGGAACAAGTGGGAGCTCTCTGATCCAGACCATTTATTCGAATTAATGTTTGTCTGGTCGTAATATATTTTGGTTGCTTTGTTTTTTTTCGAGATCAGATATATACGTAGGATCGTTATTTAACGCATAAGAATAAAAAATATATATTTAGGGGCCATCCATTCAGTACGTACGCATGGAGGGGGGAGGGGGGGTTAATTTAAATGCGTACGCATAGGAGGGGTCTACTGACAATGTACGTACGCATAGAAAATGGGGGGGGGGGGGGGGGTGAAGCCTCAATAATAATGCAGCCGGCGGTGGATTATCGGTTTGCTTAAACACGTTAATATTATTCATCCTTGACCGTTTCTGCGTGGATTAAATATCGGCGGTTCTGTAGGATTCGTGGGGGGGGGGGGGGGGGGGGGTGCCTCAAACGAACGTACGCAGATGGGGGGAGGGGGGGTGTAAAAAGTATTCGTGCGTACAGGGAAGGGGTCAACTTTTGACGGATTTTTGCGTACCCACTAAATGGATGGCTCCTTACGCGCTGCGACCCACCCCGATACCTCTTGCGACCCACCGGTGGTGGGTCGTGACCCATTGTTTGAGAACTGCTACAATATTCAACACTTCAAATCTATGGGGCTGGAGGGGGGGGGGTATAGGCGTCCCCTCGTACCACACCGAGTAAGAAGATGGGCTCCTACCTGTAGATGCACCAGGTAAAGGCACCGAGGGCAAGCAGTGTGAGCAGCAACGCCAACGTTAGCGCAAACACAATTCCTGTTCTTGCAGACCTTTCCTCCTTGCTGGAGTCTAGTGTCACCATCTGGCATCGGTCTCCTTCATATCCTTCAGCGCACCTGTGTCAAGAGATACGAGTACGTGCAGTGTCTATGTCGTGAATTATTGAATGCACAGGAGCTCATCCCAAGATCAGCAAATTGAGCTATAAAGTGCTGCCCGTTATCCACAACCATGTTGCCTGCTGTTCCAGCTTTACGTGGCCTATTATAGAAGTGCGTAATGAACTGTAACCCGACCAAACAGCGAACCGAAAGTTCCAGCGTAGGTTTTGGTAACCAATTGAATTGCGAGTATTTGTAGGCCCGTGTCGATCACAGATAGAGTGATGCCGACTGTTCGGGAAGCTATCTCAGATGGCAATGGGAGGCTGTCCCATACCCAGTGATATGACGGAGCTGTCCCGGAGTGTAGCACTTTTTCCATCGGGCTGAACTAAACTTTTTTTTAAAATTCGTATCCCCACAAAGTGTGGTGGCCGTTGAAACCACCTACGTGGATTGTATGCTTGCTTTTTTTGGTGAGAAGGCCATTATGCGGATGATGTTTGAGTAGGTTCGCTAATGAGTATGGTGGTGGTGAATGGATGGCCTGCCTTGTCTCATGCTTGACCAAGGTGACCAGTCCGCGTTTCAGCTGATGACTGTTGTCACGTGGCAGTATTCCTTCGAGCTGGAGCATTCACACTCACCAAGTGAGTTTCCTCGCGATCTTAGCGAGACTGCCGCCTTTGGCACTCTATCATTTTTCCACGTTGAGCTGCATGATTCGCAATTATGGACCAATCGGGAGGTTGGTTTGTCCCCGAGGAGGACCTTTCGCATTGTTGCCATGGCCTTTTTGACTGACAGTTTGTTTTAAGATGTTCGGTCGATGTTGTTGGTGCACTGCACGTTGATGCACGCTCACCAGAGAGACAAATACAGGCAAGCAAATTGCTGGCTTCAACACTGCATTGTGTTGTGTACTGTGATGACCTTAACAGATGCTGCTAACATGACCTTAACAGATGCTTGCTAACAATGCATGACTCAACAGGCCATCGTTCTTATCTGGGTTATTAAAGGAATATTTGCGTGTGCGTGTGTGTGAAGTAGGTGGCACTGTGACTCACGTACTGTTCTAAGAACCTTTCAATTTGTGTTTGATTCCTGGCCATGGAAAACAGCAGGGGGCAAGTGGTATTTGTATGTTTGCCAAGCGAATACATTGTAAGGTCGCACTCATTACACACAAGGTGCTTGCCACGTATGTACCACAATACCTTGCTCGTCAAGGACCATAAAGCATCACGCGAACTCTGGTCATCCTCGTAGCGCCTTTTGGCTGGCCATCGAACAAAGAGTCTCCGCATCGCGCTATTCAGATGCGCTTCTGTGGGGCGGTCTGCGACGCTCTTCCTTCCAGTATTAGTAAATCACTGGAGCTGTGCACTTTTAAATCTAGGATTGAAAACGAATTTCTTCTGCTTTTTGTGTTTAGTTAGTTGTCCTTTCCCCTGCACCTCCGATTAGCACGGTTGGCTACGGAGGTGTGGGAAACTGCACTGCGTCACCCCTAATTCGGCTGAGCTTTCAATGAGTAACTGGTTATGGCGTGAGAGGATTAGCAGTGGGGAGACAAAGGCAGGCAGGTGTGGCACTGCACCACAGAACCCACTAGTGTGCCACGCCAGCCTTAATTGGTGCTTTGTAAGAGCACTTGGCTAATCCGGGGTTCTTCCCGTGTGTGTGCGTTTCACTTACGTGCATTTGATCAATGACGTTGACAGAGAGGAGCATTCTCCATGTATGCAGTAATACGAACACCGGCCTATGTCGTCTGAAAATGGTAAATGAACAAAATGTAATTCAAGTTCAAGTTCATTTATTAGGTATAGCCCTGTGAGCCATTCAGCTCTTGAATCGGGTGCAACCGCAACAAACAAAAAACAAAAACATGAACAAAAAACATCTTAAAGTGAATATGTGACTAAGTGCAAACAGAAAATTCAAGAAAAGACAGCAAAAATATTGCAGAAAAAACACCGTACACCAACGCTGACACAAAGTACGTGAATTCACAAAGACATTTTTACGTAAATGTTTTTTTAACGTAGGCTGTACTTTACTCACATGCCATGCCTCTGATGCAGCAAGATGGATAGTCCTTGTTGAGGTTTTGAGATGCACACCACTGAAAAACAGTACGTATAACATTACAATAACTGTTTCATCATTTACGGTCAGCAGAGGCCAGTGCAGCAAACTTATCTTGTTCTGAACCTCGCTTCCACATCGGTGCTCCACTCCTTCACCAACTCACACACTGACCAGCTGTAGGTATGGTGAAACAATCCCCTTGGCCTGCATGGTATGGGGAGGTCTTCATAGAGCAGTGGATTGACAAAGGGCTGTAAAATGTACATTTTTATAACCATGTCCATTCCGATGACGTACATGAACGGAATCGTAAAGGTAAAATAAAATAACTTTATTTGTACCGAGGCTCCCACACGGCCATGCGTTAGGGCATGTGGTACAGTTGTAGTCACTGCAGTTCTCTGCAGTGACTACAATGTCTTTAAAAACAACGGCGCTTATGCCCCTCTAAATAAAATTAACACTAACCGCTTGCACGTTCCGAGATTCACAGGTGAATGGGACCCACCCTGCAACTTGCAGACGTCTCAGAACGGAAAAGGGTCAAACGTCTGTTATATTTAAGCCTTGGATATTGAAGTACAATACTAAATATCGAGGTGGCTGGATGGGCTCAGGGCTGGGGGCTTAAATCCTCATAGAAGCACCTGAGATAAGGCAGGTATGTAAGAGGTGGTGTCCTTACTGCTGTCACCAATGAGCTCACAGACACACCCCATTTAAATTTTAATTATTAACGTAGTAGGAATATGAAAGACACAGGAAGTCCTCATCTCTAATGTAAGATGCACTTCGTTTTTTTGAACATCAAATGATGAGGTTACCGGATGAAGGTGCTCCAGTAGCATTTTAGTGTAAAAGGGAAAACTTGGGCTTGTTTTCACTTTCACGGTCTCATCAGCAGAGTCAGGCCTGATACACAATTTCATCTGGGTTGCCAGAAAACCATTGTGATCATTGATTTTAAAAATATATATCTTTCATTGAATGTTGATTTAATCTATCTGTGTGGAGTTGAGTGTTATCCCTCTTGTACTTGTGAATTTTCTCCAAGTACCTCAATTTATTCCTGCACATGCCAAACACTCGTGTATGGAATTTGCCAAACATCCCAATGTAGGACCATCATGAAAGAGACGTATAACTCAGGGAGGATTTCCTTGGGGGACTAAAGGCCATTATTATTACTACGCGATTTAATTACATAAAACCTTATTTGGTCACAGTGCTAAAAGGTTCAATAGGCCCATTGTCACATGGAAATCCTTTAAACATTACTACAGTTGCTGTCTGGTTTCTGCCTAAATTACAATGACTGCATCGACACAAAAAGTGTGGAGCGATAACAGTCGTACGTGCACTGGACTATCAACCCGGTGGCCTAAATTTGGTTTCCCGGTCAAAGCTAACACTGATGAGTGATATGATAACCAGTCCTGGCCTCCCCTCTTCAACTACGCAAGCTGTCCAGCGTGGCAAAGTCTGGTAAACACAACTACCACCATTGAAAATAGATGTGGAGACCGTCACCCAGCAGTAAGTTGTCAAAGGGTAGTAATTTATTATTTTTTAAGACTCCCCAATTACTGTAGTTCCATTTTATTGATTACAATTGTGTGGGAGTGCTACCTGGATAGGATGTCACATGGCTGCCGGTGAGGGGCTCTCAGATGGATGACTGTCACGTGCTTTATTGCAAGAGGACAATTAGGGTATTGTAAGCGCTTTAAAAAAATAATAAACCACAAAGGGAAATCCAATACACTTTGCATAATTGTGACGAAACGGAAACGTTACACAACCTTAACGCAGCAAGAGAACGTTGTCATATGCCTAAACTAATAAACCTGACAGCGTGTTCGTTGATACATACAATAACTTGCATTAGAGTTCTAACAACAGTACTACTTTCTTCATCAGATAATATTTTCGACAGCTTCTTCTGCGACTGAACTAAACGTCAACTGCATATTTATGATCATGTAAATATAAGGTGTGCAAACGTAAATATTGTGGCGAAACAGCAGAGGCAAACGTGTCACGTGATCTCAGGTACCAGGTTTCCAATTCACGTTTTATTTCAAATAAGCACCAATGCCATTTGGAATATTGATACGATGGACAAAAAGTATAAGTCCATCCAAAAAACACAACCTACTCACGACCAGGATAAACGCGTTTACTCAACTTATTTTCAAACAGCTTGTTTTGTTTCACCTAATATAATCTTCTTGCTTAATACTGGAAACCCAGTGTAGCGTAATCATAGAATGAGCAATAGTAATTATGAAGATCAGGGTTCAAGTTTATATTGTTATCCAGGTGAGAATTCAAGAGAACAGGGCAGTGTCACTTGCAAGAGTGACACTGGTTCATCGAAAGCAAAATAAAACTGTGCCAGATGAGAAATGGAAAATATTGCAAGAAGATAAATCGATGTTAAATCATATATCAATGTTAAATAATAAATTCCCCTTAAGTGTAAGTCCGCTTAGGAAGATTATATTAACACTGATCAAAGTACCATGAAAAACATTATCAAGCTACAGACACATTAAACAGAGATGTAGGATGACTATTGCATCCATACTTAAAAACTGAAACAATGTACAGGTAGTGTAAATGCATCTTCCGATGTTTGTTTCATATGCATTTAGGATAGGGGTTCTTAACCTTTACTGCAGCTTTGTACCCATTTGGTTCTCATTCGTAAAAAAATATATATAATGTTAACACATAGATTTGATGAAACAAAGTAGTTGTACCTCCGTGCTCGTGCTTAATTTGTGTTTCGATGATTTACCTTCTAAAAAAATATATGGCCATGCCTCGCACCCCCAGAAAGGGCATCTCGCACCCCCCAGGGGGTGCGTGCACCCCAGCTTAAGAATCACTGATTTAGGGTCCGATACACACATTGGTGAATGGCCCTTTCCCCACATTTGTTGGAACATGCCTACTCCCTCCATTAATAACAGTGGAGAAAGTTGCCAACGGAATGCTTTTCAGCAGCTTGTGGTTGGGTCCGCTTGTGTATCCAGTGTACGGACGACCGAACATGGCTGAGGACACATCAGGGGGGCCATGCCGTCCTCAGTCCAGGCTCTTTTAAAGCAAACGCACGCATATACAATCTGAGACTCACGACCTAAATGATACAAGTTAGCAGAAATATACTCTTCTGTTCAAGTAACGACGGAATCTGACTTTCTACAAATATTATGAATCGGGAACTCACTTTTAAGCTAGAAACCACTAACGGCAACAGCAATGCCATATGTACATACGCACACATAAAGGTAGTCATTAAAGCAACAACAAAAAAACACTAAGTCTTGTCAAAGTGGAATTATCTACACTATACATCGACCAGCCGCATCGGAGCTAAATGCGTTCACTCTACTCACCCGTCGAACTTTGGAATGCACTAAGTGCTGTTCGGTGCTGGCGTCCAGGGTAAGCCCAAGTCCGGCTGGTCCCTTCACGAGACGCACAATCCACCTTTGAAGCCAGCCGCTATGACCCAACTACGACACGGGCACGCGGATACAACCAGCGAACCTCCGCTTTGTCGTTTAATGAACAACCGTGGCTCATTGTCGACCAAACCCTAGGCTAAACTCTCCACTGTATGCGGATTGTAAGGGGAGATAAGGGACTGAAAGAATGACTGTAAAAAGGACCTTTCTGAACAGGTTTAGACGGAGCGGTGGTGTAGCCCGACACTGACAATTGTTTAAACGCGCCCGTTCCCACTGCCGTTGTCACGAACGCAGAGAAGCCACCGTACGAATCGAAACAGTTGCGCAGTGGGGTTTTTAGCAGCTTGTAAAACTCAAACTCATTATCGTCACGGAATGTGATGACCGCAGTAAATACCTGCCTTCGGTGAGAGGGGCACACAAACACACGCCCAACTATTTCGCCAAGAGATGTGAAATCAGAAACGCCCGCAACGCTCACCTTTTTCCCCCCTTGCAGACCCAAAGCATGGGTGTGTGCGTGGGGTAGGGGGTGGGATTGACGAGAACGCTGCAGCAAGAGCGTTGTATGGTCAAACAAACCCCACCACCATGACCGGCACAGCGTGGGGAAGAACCCTTCATTCACAGAAGTTTACTTACTAAAAGGCTGTGCATCATTGTTACTTGTTATATTGTAAATGTCATTACAATATGTAATTTAAACAGATGAGAGCCCATTGAGATTCGCGTTACCTAGTTATATAAAGATGGTTATTTTTTTCAATATATATAATTGTCGTGAGTGATTAGTAAATGTGGATTACGATATTACATAGCAATGACGTTCTCATGCACTGCCCTACTTTTACATGTTGCAGGGAATTGAACATCGGGATTCTCGCGGTGTATGGGAAATTAACTCTTGAACGCAAATTTAGCGAAATTTCGAAAATTCTGACATCACTGTTTGACTATGTGGGATGAAACTGTATACATTTTTTTAAACTTACAAGCTAATGCAAATTTACCTTAAGCTGGGAGTTGCTAAATTACACAACTTTCTGAAACTTCCACCAATTTGTTTTTGCTTCTAGTCTGCAAGTAGCTGATATATAAAGCGGGTTGACTTGCAAAATGTTGCATCCAATAGTTAATACATGTTTATCCCACTGCTCAGTTAAATTGGGTCGTTGGTCCGGTAAAACTGAATAAATCTACCCATGGATAGCACTGTTGGAAGGTCCACGTAAAAGTGACAACCTATTAGACTTCAAGACCTCCTACATAAAATATTCTAAGCTACAGTGACTTTTTAGCTGACATAACTTGTGAAAACCACACAACATTTTGTGGAACTTACCATTTAGGTATTTGGCTATGAACGCGAGATCGCATTAAAACGAGTTATTTTATTGAAATCAGCAACCCCACAAAAAACTGATTAGATTGTTGTTGTTGCAGCAGTTTATTTATGACATCATTATAATTTACATAACTGTCAAATAATATTCAGTATGGTATTTTTATATTTCTTGTGCTCAAATGCTATACCCAGTTCTGACTTCTGATAATTTTTCATACTCAAAAGGTCACGTAAATCAATTAACAAACGCTGCTTTTAAAATGCTACCATTAATTCTCATTTTCACCACAATGTAATACGTGCATTTTTAACGGTTTGCAGCATTGTGGTGCGATAATACTATTTTCTTTTACTATTTATATCACCATTTCAAAAATCCTCCCGAAAATAACACCATCATTATATAATACGGTATACATGTAATTACCACTGTAAAGTAGGACATGTAAACTCACCTTGGTCGGTCTGCTCTTGTGAATACTGCTGCTCTGTAGTTAGTGGAACGTTGTCACCAAAAAACGAAGTTGCAGTGACTCCTGTTTTTTTATACCCAGCGTCTGCACGCCTTTATGACCGGATGATGTGGGCGTTTGAAGGAAGATCTGAGTGTTTGAACATGATTTGAGTAAGAAGGAGGGCACTGGTTCAAAACCCATGCAGTACGAAACCGTCAAATTCACGTTCTTCTTTGTTGAAATAAAAAAAGGCAAGAATGTTGCGGTTTCTTGGGAGATTTCACAACTGTTAATAACCGAGAACTTCCACAGCAATAGCTGCAAAATGTCTTAAAAGTTAAAACGAAAGGGCACTACGGAGCCTTTGTGCCTAATTCAGTGAAAGTGCAATGACGCCTGAAGTCAAGCAAGGAAATAGTGGATTTTACAAAACTGGTTCGCAAGTAGTAAATTATATTTCTATTAAATTCGTGAGATTTATTTTGAAATAGACAATGCTATCACATAATTGGTTTCTTTAAAGTAAGATCTTATAAGTGTAAAGTCAATAGAGCTATATACAATTGTTAACAATTTGGCTTGCTTTCAACATAATGGTTTTCTGAAAAACAATCGGCTCATTTGCCCACGTGAGAACTTGCATTTGTTTGGCTTCGTCAAGTGTTGGAGAGTTTATACAGTATTTATCATCAGTACGATACCTACATAATCTAACTAAAAACAACCTATTATGAATCAGTGCTATAACAACTACTATTGCTACTAAACCGTTAAACGATAATGAAAGCTTAGTCCAGATACTCGGATTGAAAAGAGAAAGGACATGTACAATGCAACGCACATTATTTCTTCCAATGCCAACGCATTCAATCGGGCCAAGTCAAAGTTGAGAAAACACTGCATACAATGCAAATCAGAGAATGTTATGAGAACAACGGTCAAATTCGCCAGCACCAATGGCAAAAATGCACGTGGGTGCAGACACATGAATGCTTTGTGGTTTAAAGGCGGCGAGGGATATTACCTTTGCGTGTTACCTGTGACGTCCGCTACCTTGCTGGAATGTGGTCCGGTTAGCAGTTGATCCTGAGGGGATAATGTCCCACCACAACGAGGAACCGCAGAGGCTTCACTGTGGCCCCAGGGATGATTGTGGTGGCAGATAGCGAAGGTCTTTGTGGACCGTGTATCCTGTTTGTGTGGCCCCTTGCTGCTCTGTATAAGTGATTATTTTGTACAGATGCAAACATCAAAGAGATTTCGATTTAAAGCTTTCGTGACTGCAGGGATTCATCTTCTTGGTTCTTTCGGTAAAGTCACGTAGAAGGGAAGTAATAAAATAATAAAAAGAAAACATAATAAAATAATTCTCACGACGTTTCGGCCACAACGCAAGTAGCCGTCCTCAGGTGGAGAACAGGTCTGTCGTGGACGGCTGCTTGCGTTGTGGCCGAAACGTCGTGAGAATTATTTTATTATGTTTTATTTTTATTATTTTATTATTTCCATTCTACGTGACTTTACCGAAGAACCAAGAAGATCAAAGAGATTGTAATTACACTGAAGGCAGAAGGATGTGGGAAGGTGGGAGGGGGCATGGCAGCCACTCTTCAGCTTTCTGTATAATTGAACAAACATTTGTTGATATTGCGTTGGCAGTGGTTCAAAGCACAAATTGCCAAAAAAATACTCAACACGTTAATTCATAATACTGCCTTAAAAGAAAAAAAAGTAGGTGATGCTTTGGGCGATGTCCCTTCTTCATGACATGTTCTTTTAAACCAATGATATTGACGAACATGTTGCACTTTAAGAAAATGTCTCTCCACCAAATTGGTTCCCGCACCCTACTGGAGAGATTCGGTGCACTCATCACCCGAGTTCCCATGGCGAGATGTGAACTATCTCACCTGGTATACAGGAGGTTGCGGGTTCAATCCCGACTCTGGCACCTGTATATTTAGAGTTTGAATGTTCTCTCAGTGGTCACGTGGATTTTTCTCCGGGTCATCCGGATTTTCCCTCCACATTTAAAAAAACATGCGTTAGTGTATTTGGCTGCTATAAATTCCCACGTGATAAGCCACTTCATTGAGCTATAATTTGTGGCCAGATTGCTTCTAAAAAAGAGCTATATAGCTCAGTGGGCCATACCTGGTAAAATAAAAATTGTTCAGTTTAGTTTAGAACAAATTGATATTGAAAGTGGAATGATTCTATGCGACCCCCCTATCTCATGTGATTGAACGATTTTTTGTGATTCAGAATAATAATTTAATTCAATAACTTTTCATTGTTTTACAATTGGTGAGTGTAGCAGCATGCAGTTGCTGCGAGAGGTAAGTGAACCCACGCCATTAAAACACATTCGGATAAAAAATGAATTATTATGCATGAAATTTGATGCACTATCACGAGCCCAAGATCTGATATTGCAGTCGTTGATTAATCGATGAGCCATTAAACTGCGAGTGGATACCCCACCATGGCTGACCAAAACAATTATGGGCACGATATTAGTAACAAAATTCATATTGTTACATTTTCAGTAGAACTACCAAGCCATTTCCCATGTGCAACAGCTACAAGGTCAGTGATATTTTACTAAGCTTTTGTAAGTGCTACATTGGATTGCACTCGACTCGCTGACTGAAAGTTGTAAGATAAAATCCTGGTGGGCATTCACTGCTGGACTGAGTGCTTCCTTGCCGTGTCAATCATGGCGTTTATTTGACCATACTTGACCTTGTTGGTCAGTGCGGATGGGTGAAGGGGGAGGGAGTCCAAAACTGGTTCGAATATCACTAGCCACTGGTGTTAGTTAGCTATGATTATCCCAGGTCACCGTGTTTGTAGCGCAGTGCACCAGCTACTATCTCGCCACTTCACCTGCCCATCATCCCTCTTACAGTTGTTATAAACAGGTACCACTTTACAAGAAGCGACCAGTGGTTAGCTCATGGAGATACTGATCACTGCAGCAGAAATGCAGAATATTCAATGCTGCGTCAACAGGTTATTTTAGAAATGAAAATCATCGTGGTTGCATTTCGTGAACAGCTGTTTATCAGTAGCCAACAGAAAAACCTCGTGCGTGAAGTTAAGAGATTGACGCAATCTTTAGAAATGTCAGCACAAAATCATTTGTATCATGGGTTTTTTCGGTGGGTACTGTGACTCATTTGCATTTAATTCAAGTTTGACGCATGAAGAAAACATTTTTTGGTCACAAATAGTTTCCCCCCCCACACAATTTAACATAAACTGAGGCCTTTTTTTACAGATGAAACGAAAATATATGTACGTAATTTAAGCGTGAGTGTATACAAAACTTTAGAGAAGATCAGTGTGCGGTTAGGATTTTCGGTTTTGCATCTTCAAAACTTTAACCTGTTCATTAGCGATGGTGAGCGATAACCTTAATCAGCTTCACCTGTTGAGTGTTCTGAACATGAACTGTTATAAACAACTCACATGGTTGAATAATATTGCCTTAAATAGAAATAAAAATCTATAATAGACGTTTAGGGCAATGCCTCTTCTTCGTGGCAAGTCATAAGACTGGTCAAATAGCGTCAGCAATCCCCCAAAAATGTGCCCTTTTTTCGAGCCAGTCTAATGAAAATATTAAACCAAGCATACAAGTCACTCATTACCTGAAATGTCTTATGTGCAAGTAAAAACAAAGGCCTTTGTTTAGCACTATGCACTCTAGATGTATGCACACATCCGGCAATGCTAATAAGACGCAGCCACACCGGACGCCCACCAGATTTACAGGCGGCCATATGCATTCCTCGAATGCTTAGAATGCACATATGAATGTAGAGATTTGCATTGCGAAAGTCATCATCTTTTGTGTTCCACCTGTAAGTGGCGTGAACAAAAGCAACGTGCAAAATCATTATACAAAGGTGAACATTTGAAGTCATTAACATCAGTTCAACCAGTGGCATGGACTTAACAGTCTACACTTTTCAAATTAGAGGAATGGAAACCAAAACTGACCTGCAGGGTTCCATGTCTGGATCAGGGACGTGCGGGCAGGGGAGGCAGGGGAGGCAGAACCTCGGCTGTCATACTCCAATGAAAATATCTGTTACGAAAAGTAAAAAAAAAGAATAATCAAATAAAATAAATATTAAGATTGTCCCACTGATCCGTGTTATAAATGTCATTTCTGTACGATTCCAATCACTTTGTCAAAATCGCCAAATTTGCGGAGCTCCGCTGCAAATACAGGAAGAGACGATAGGGGTGAGGCAGCGACGAGCTCAGCCTCCCCTCTGATTGCGCAACCCCTCAGTAACTGGATGGAGCGTGCCTGTTACTATCTCAGTATGTCAGCAATGTAATGTTTGTAGACCCCTTCATTTCATGTTCTCGCCTTCCATACTCCAGGAGCTTATTTCACGTATGTGTATAAAGATATTTAGGCTCGCTGGTCTCGTCATAAAACTGCAATGAAAAAGCACCAGGGGAGGCAGCTATCACATCTGCCTCATTGAGGGGGACGTGTCTAACACGCCCCCCTCAGCGAGGCCACACCTCCTCAGCGAGGCCACGCCCCCCTCAGTGTGTGAATCTGGCTCTGACACGAGCCAGTGCCTCCCCAACCATTGACCTCACCGCACGTCACTGGTCTGGTAATCATTGAGCAGTCACTGGACGACTCGTTACAGTTGTATTTGCAACGTGGGAAACCCCCATAACATATTCGTGTTATGCTATCGCAATAATTTCCAAAGGAAAACAGACGCGTTTTCTTCTAGGTAAAGAGGTGATATGCAGTGGATTGTACATACCATGAGTTTCGGTTTTATTATATATATTTAGCTTTTTTATGATTAGCCACCGATTGTATTAACAGCGTGTAGGCATCACCTGATCGATTGGCTGCTAAAAATGCGTCTCATTTTTATTTCATTGGCTAATATGTCACGGTGCGTTTCTATGGTTATTGGCTAAACCAGGGGTGGTGAACCTTTGTTTCTGCCAGGGCCATTTGGATATTTATAGCATCATTCCGCGATGCCATACTAAATTATCAACTTAAAATTTGCCTGTTATATTTGGTCAAACATTTAATTAACTCACCCCTAATGTGATGGCTGGAACTGCTTCGCTTTGGCGAGGCGTGTGATGTCAGCCGTTAGCTGATGATGTTGCTACTCGCAACTGCTTTTCCAGGTTTGCTCCTAGATTTATTGAATTTCGAGTCCCGCCTGCGGTTGCCTTGGCAGGGCCACACCAAATGATTTCGCGGGCCGTATCCGGACGTTCCACACCCCTGGACTAAACAGTTCCAGCATCTTCAGCCATGAACCACTGCCTCCCACCAGGATGTCGCTGTCAGTCTCTCACGCATATCATTGCTCCATTTTCGTGAAATATTTACGAAAATGAAGCATCTGCACAGCGACCGTATGAAGTACACATTTACACGAAATGCACGTCATGCTCGCGGTCAATTTCATTTTAAATATATTGAACAATAATTTCCAGCCCTTTGTCAATCCACTTCGGCATGAAGGCATCTGGTCCATCATATGCTGATGTCAGTTGTAGTGAAGTATAGTAAGAGAAACCACAATTGTCAGTCTTGGTTTGGTGATTTGGCCTGAGGGTGGAGAGGGAGATAGGATGTTAAGGATCGATTCAGATATCACTCAGCACTAACGTTTCGCATGGCCAGGAATCGAACTCGGGTTTCCATATTCCACACTCCCCTTTACCGAAAAAACCAAGAATATGAATCCCTGCAGTCACGAAAGCTTTAAATCAAGACAATTCGTTTGTTTAAAAAATAACAAATACGTGGAGAGACAAGTATGTGAATGAGACAAATTGTTTACGTATCTATTTTGTTATTTATATTCTCGACCACGACGCTAATGATGAGTATTTTGTTGATAATCGGCAGTACATTATTAAGGAAGTTTTTTTTTTATCGAGCGCTCGACAATTTCTCAATTTCTACATTTCCGATTACGGTCCCATGCGAGGGGGCGGGGTCAACAGAGGAGGCGGGGTCTACACAGAGGGGGCGGGGTTAAATCTACCTTTGGATTCCATACAGGCGCATAGACAGCGAACTCCTCTGGCACCGCTCCTGATTGGTTCAGAGTTTCGGCTCGTGCCAAATCTTGCCAATCGCGCGCCAACCCCGGCCAGGGTCTCTCCTATCCGTTGTACGATTTGTGAACGTGTTTTCGGCGAGAGGGCCGAACAAAGGCGGGAAACTGCAGGCCGCGGTATTTCGTTGTACGCGCTCGGGAATTATCGTCTCGTGTTCTTTGTTATTTATCATCGTAGCACGCAATGTTAGAGCGGGAGTAGGGGGGGGGGGATGTGTTACGAGACGGGTTTTTAGCGTCGTAACGACTGCTCCACCCCGGCTTTGATTGAACCCGAAAGCAGGTTTGTTGGCCCGACCCGGCCTCTTCAGGTCGTCCGTTCTCGGTAGGGATTCTAGGCAAGCCCCGCGCTGTGACCTCGGGCCTACTTGCCCCACTCATCCCCCTCGGTAACGTGAACATTTAATCATTTGTGCCACTCAGATCGGTGCTGTAATGTGGCAAAAATGCGTGTTGTTATTTGTGACCGATGTTCCATTTATCGACAGGCGTTGCGTGGGAATGTGTTCAATTCAGTGAGTCCAGCTAGGGGGATAGAATGTATTTTGCACGATTGTATATTCAGTATTATACCGTGTGACTGTGTTTGTACGTGGCCTTGAAGTGCACGTAGCCTGGCACAAGCGCGCTGTGGTGACTTCACCGCTTGGTGGCGAATTGCGGTTCATCTACGTTGTGGGATAAGTACGCGTGGTATTTATTCATGCGACTGTACACATGTTTGTTTTGAGAATGCCCAATCTGTATGTGCACGTGTACCTAATGAGTTGTGCGCCTTTTGGCGTCATCTGGTCCAACACCATGTGAGACTAGGCTCTAAGGAAAGCTGTCTCGGGTGTGGACCAATCAACTTCAAGGACAGTGCATACATTATCAGAGTTATGTTTTTTGTTTGCATTACGACTGCAGGTATTGTGGTCTATGCAAACATGACTCCTTGTAAAAAAAGGTGTCAGTTTTGTTGCCGGATAAAAGGGTAAAAAAACAATTATCAATGTGTGTCTAATTTAACACACGTGTGGGCATGGCCGAGCGGCTGGCGTTCTAATTACGCAGAAAGGACAGAAAGCTGGGACTCGGCGTAAATAATCGAGCCTATGCGTATAGTTGAATTAATGTTTGTCCATACGTAGGCGTGAGATGAAACTGCAAACATTGCAGGACAATGCGCTACCTGCGATGATGGTTTCAGGAGACATTCAGCTCGCTGACAACATAGCCAAGAGGATAATAAACTACTACATTGTCTTGCACTCCTGTTTGCAATTCAAATTTCATCAGTATAAACGTAACTACATTCATGTATTTGCTGTTATGTTTTTATTTCCGGTATGTATAAGGGGGAAACCGAGCGTTTTGCGTTGGACACTGATGCAATGCAAAAATGTGTTTTTGGTTACCATTTTTTGTTTTGGAACAAAGAGAGACTTATCCAGAAAGGGCAACATTTCGACTTGCGCCAGGAAAGTCCTCTGGAAAAGTTGGCATATTGTCTTGTTCCTCGGTGATTTCTTCGACGTGATTGTGAAAATATTGGGTTGTGTATGCAGATGGTGTGCTTTAAGTGTCCATGAGTATACGTTGAACCAACGGCACGTTTGTTGTGTGTTCTGTTGGGATCTCTTCATTTGTATGTTGTGAAGCAGGTTGTTGATACACTTTACCATGGCCTTGGAGGACGAGACTGGTAAGGATGTCATGGAAGAAGCGTTGGAAATGGCTGACAAGGGTGAGGATACGGAGACGTCGTTGGCTGAACCTCAAGCTGAGAGTACGCAGCCAAACATGAACGCAAGCCCTTGCACTCCTGAAATTGGTGACGTTCCTCATGGCAGTCCCATGCAAGTAGAGGAACAATCGATGTCAGCAAAAAGTGACGTATGTGAGAGGATTGAGGATGATAACGCCGACGAAGCTGCAGAAGGCGCAGCAGGGACTCAAAATGGCGAGAGGACAGAGACCGAAGAGGATCCCGACAATGGGTTAGGGGAGGACCTTGTGGTGTCTATGGAGGAGATGGAGTTACTCGTGGACAAACACCTTGCGGAATATGCAGATTTCCACAAGCAATGCATGACGTTGCAGGAGGTGCAACTTTTGCTTGCCCAGCGAGAGGAGAATGTGGCTAACATTGACCACATCTTCAGTGGCTTTAAAATGTAAGAATAGCGTTGAATTTTGTGTTATTTCCCTTTGCTCGATCAGAACTTGGCGGCCACACATGCCTTTTGCATGCCTACGCTTCATGGATGCTCACCATTGTATGTTGGATAGGCGCGTTTGCAGATGAGTACTCATACCTGTCAATCCATATTGTTTACCCGTATTCTTGTACAGGGAAATTGGGTTTTCAGGTCCATACGGTGTACAGTCGTTTCAATACGGCCACATTTTTTTGTCTATTTGTTTGTGTTTCTCCGTTGTGATGAAACTGTAGGATGAACGTTGAGATTTATAAGGGCACGGGGTGACCAGTAAGGTCTGAATTGGTCTGATAAGAAAGCCACTGATAATGGGTTGACAGGTAGGTATGAGTACTTCTGGCATCAAACTTGGCTGACTGTTGGACAGTTTTATGAGTGTGATCCAACAGGAGAAGCCCCATTGCACCAATGGACATACTTTAAATATACATATTACATCTTAATGTCGACTGCTTGCTATGACATATATTTTGATCTTTAGGACTGTGAACCATATACAAGGACAAGTGAGAGAGCTGTATATAAAACTAGGGCTTAATTTTGACGAAGTGGAATCCCTTGCTGATGCTGCCATTGAAATGGCTACCACAACTGGCAAAGAGACATCGAATGACATCATTGAAATCCTGGATGATGAGGATGAGGATGCTGAGGCTAACAGTGAAACAGGTTGGTCACTGCATGCATGTTTATTTTGTAACTATAGTTTTTGTTCTTTACGCATTATTTTTGCCTGTACCTCGGACTCGTTTTGTTCTGATGTTGCACTTTAATGTTCTGTGCTGATGCACCACGGATCTCCCTTGCAGGCTAGCTGGGTCACTGGATAAACGGAACTTTCAGTTTAAACAAATAAACAGATTTTTTTTAGATTGTGCTAATAATGGCATGAACGTGAAAGATGCTGCAATGTACAGACACTTAATAGTATATTATTTATGTACGGTTTGTATACAGGAGGCTCAAATGTTAAGGACTCCAATCGAAGCAAAACTATCAAGGATCTGAATGAAGAGGAGGTATTTATTTTATTATTGCCTTAGATATGCATAAATGCATATCATGTGAAACATTGTGCAGTATTTGTCGGCAATTAAAATGCTCAGTCATTAATCAGTACAGTCGTGTTTTGTGACAAAGCGTGTATCTAGTAATTTAGTATTTTTTGTAAACGAACCAATGTGTAATTAAAATGTAATTGTGTAACCTCATTTTTCAGTTCCACAGTCAACATTCAGTTGCAATCTGCAGTCAGTTGTATGATTTTAATTTACATTACTTGATGCAATTATCTTTTTGTATATTTATATTAAAAAATCATATTTATGAGCTCTTAACTACAGTTGTAACGTTTGGAATATTTCCACAGGTGAAAGCCATTATAATGGTCATTAGAGATTCTATGAAGGAGGTACAATGTTGCCTCTCCACTATAAAGGAAATGCGTGTAAAAGAAGATGCCCATTCTTTTATGTGGCGAGATTCCACGCAAAAAAAAGGTACATATGCTTTTTAGAGCTCTTCATCAATCAACTTTTGGATGAAAGCCTCTCCATACCATGTCTGACCATACTTCATCATACTCGTCACTGCATAGTATATTAAATATACTATTCTTGTTGATGTTGGATAAAAGGTGAAGTAACAGCCCAGCAATACCTTGCTCAAGCCACTGCTTGAGCAAAATCGCCGCACTCAGAGGTCTACAGACTACTACCCACGTTTCTCTGACTTGTCAATGTATTGTGTACCCATTCGTACTGCTTGGGTGGACAGAGGCAAGGGGGATTTTTTTTAAGTTGCCCAGTGTTTCAACTGCTATGCCGGGATATCGAACTGACGAGCACTATAATAGAGGTTTTTTTGGGGTTAGATCGCGTCGTTGAAACCCGCCACCACCCGTTCGGATAGCTACCGACTTAGTGCTGCGTGGAAGCGAATCCTCAAATAAAACATTGTTTAAATGCATGCCTATACAAGGCACCATACTTAAATATGGATTACCGTTGGTACGGCTATTTTAATACACACATGGGACAAGAAGGACCGATCAAAGGGCTCGTATAATGCGCATGCATAATGTACATTGGCTCATTAATCCCCTCCCCCACTTTGCGCAAGAGCGCAGAAGTGTGGTCACCACATCTACGCCTCTATAAGGAACGAAACAGGTGGACTTCTCCAGGAAACTGGCTGTCGCCTGATAAAGCTAGTTGTAATTACTGGCGAAACGTCATACTCAGATTGTAAATGTTGTGGCTTGGCTCTCCAATACACAGGTGTGCTGTACTAGTGACGAATTGGCATGTGCTGTTTATGTGACAACCGTTACTAGTTGTCTGTGTCGGGTGTTGGTGGGTTTTACGCGATCTAACCCAAAAAAACCTCGATTATGGATGATATTGGTCGCGAAAACCTACGTGTTAAATTGAGGACCACTATTGCAAGTCCATTGCGCTAAACAGTACACCATGGCAGATGATTGATCATACTTCACATGGTATATTCAATCGAATGTCCATTTGCAAATCTTTTCACTTGTGATGTCATTCCATTTCTTAAAGGGCAGATGTTTTCGTTGTTTTTGTTTTCAGCTAATGCCGACACTCAACTCGAGGTAAACAGTGCTGCTTCCTTGACGGGGAGCCAGTCTCAGCCTTCATCGCCCACGGAGCCCGGAGCAGATAACGAAGCTGGCAGCATCCGACCAGAGCAGCGCTTCGAGTCTGGGCAGCCCACGGCAGTTGGTGATGAGATTTTGCTGGGCATGCGTGTCCTTGGCAAGAAGCGGACGAAGACATGGCACCGTGGCATTCTTGTAGCCATCGTCTCATCCGGTATCTATCCCAACACTTCAGTTTGATTAAGTACAACTGAAAAAGCACTTCAAAATGTGTAATTCGTTTTGCATGAATTTTGCTTGATTTACAGTTAATCACTTTTTTGTTTGCTTTATGTCAATACGAGAAGCCAGCGGCTTCAAGTACAAAGTTAAATTTGACAGCAAGGGGAAGAGCTTGCTGTCAGGAAATCACATAGCGTACGATCGTCATCCGGAATCCGAGAGCCTTGTTGTCGGCAGTAGAGTTGTGGCAAAATACAAAGACGGCACCTCGGTGTGGCTGTACGCAGGCATTGTGGCCGAGACGCCACACAGAACCAACAAGTACAGGTAATTATAATCAATCGGCTTGTGTTTTGCATGGTTAACAATGGTAATGCTGGAATACCTCTGCTGTAGCAGAGCGGTAGAATATTGCATGTATTATTCAAAGAGTTTGTAAGTGTACAATGAATGCATCAAATCACGTGTCTTAGAATCTAAATGTTTTTTTTTTCAAGTTGTGTATATTGTATACAATGTGTAAATCCTCCCAACTACTTGAAGTCATTTTCAACACTCTTAAAAAAGTGGTGCGTATTCAATCACAACTGCCCTTAATTACAACAATTGATGGAATTGAGGGGGCAAATTGTTACCCTTGCTCTGGGAAATGTGATTGTAATATGAAACGTAATACAGTATACATTTAACGTTTACAAAGTAATGAGTGACGTTCTGTTTTGCAAGCTAATCACAGAATTGGTTGGATATAATATTGACAGTGCACATAGACTTGGAATTGACTAGACTGCACAGCACGACACGCATGTTTTTATGCGGATGGCACACCAGATTTCAATTTTTTTCATTTTGCGGCCAGTGACATTGTTTTATAAATGTCAGCAGAATCAGTAAGCAAAAGGGGATGAGCACAAGTTTTGTTTATTGTAACAGAAACTCGGTGATGTGATATAAATGCAATTAATGGTGAATTGGACTGTTTAATGTGAAAATAGTTTAGAACTTTAGAATCTAAACAATGCAAATCTTCAATACTATCAAAAATTTGCAATGTTTGTGCATTTTCTGGATGTGAAGTTTAATTGTATATTCATACATTGTTACAGGTTTCTCATTTTTTTCGATGATGGATATGCAAGCTACGTCACACTTTTAGAATTATACGAAGTATGCAGACAGTGTAAGTTCTATCATGCTTGAAAATCAACACTAACATTATCTTTCTATATGCCTCTGCATCAACCTTTATCACATGTCATTCTTACAACTAAAAGTGTCATCTCTATGACATTGTTGACTGGTGATTTCTGAGAGATGATTGTACCTTTTTTCTTGTTTTGTGGTGTTGCGATAATGAATCTTGAATTTCACATGTAGTAACCAACAGTTGGGAAGACGTGGATGATCGTGCGAGCAGGGAATTTATGGAGGACTACATCAAGTCATACCCAAACCGCCCCATGGTTCTTCTGAAGCCTGGACAGAACATCAAGACTGAGTGGGAGGGCACGTGGTGGAAGTCTCGTATTGAAGAGGTTGATGGCAGCCTCGTTAAAATCGTATTCCTGGTGAGAATTGCAAGCTTGAAGACCTCGCTATGCCATGGATATGGTTTTACCATACTTTATCTGACTGATATTCTTGGTTCTTTCGGTAAAGTCGCGTAGAAGGGAAATAATAAAATAATGTTATTGTTTTTATATTTATATTATTTTATTATTTCCCTTCTACGTGACTTTACCAAAAGAACCAAGAATATGATACCTGCAGTCACGAAAGCTTTAAATCAAAATTTATCTGACTGGTTAATGAGATTGCTGGTGAGGGGTGGGCCCAGGAACGGATAAGGTGGTATTACATGTCATCTATACTGTATTAGTTGTGACTGGGAAATCAAACTTTGGCCAGTTCATAGCGCAGTGCTATAACCACTGCACCACTGCTCTTCTGTTTGCTAATATTAAGTGATTACCATGGTCATATATATTTTATTATGTACAGTCGACCCTCAATATTCGTAGGGATTTTATAATTGCGGTTTTGCATATTCACGGCAAATTTATTGGAGTGTTATTGGAAATTTGCGGGGTTGTGTTTTAATTATTCACGGCTGTGAATACCTGACGAGTTGTACTGTACAAATGCATGAGAGCGGTGTGGATCATGAAAGCGGGCGTGAGGTGCCATGGTGACGAGATGTTAACTCCCTCGCCTGGTATGCAGGAGGTCATGGATTCGATCCCAACCCTGATGCATGTATGTTTGGAGTTTTGATGTTCTCATTTACATTGTCCAGTTCAGCCTTTTTTATTTTTAAATATCTCAAATGTGTACGTGCAATGAAGATTGAACGTGAAAATACTTGGCAGAAACTCTCAAGTGCGTGTCATTTCTTTTTAGATTGATGAGCGCTGCGAATGGATCTACAGAGGCTCCACACGGCTGGAGCCCATGCATACCCTTAAACACTACCACACTGAAAAGAAACCCGGACAACGGATGAGACCCACGACTGGTCAGTCCCAGAAACTTCACTGGCCACCAAAGCCATTCCAAAATAATGATTGTTGGTATAATTTTCTCACGATTTACAATTCGTAGTTTCAATTACAGCATTGAATGTTGAGCTAGATTTGTAACTGTGCACATGGTTAATGCATTGTGTTTTTTTTGCAGCTGGACGAAACAAGGGTGGTCCTGTTGTTCAGTACCCTCAGCAGGAGCCCCAGCAGCAGCACACCAAACCCCAAACTCCAGCTAGTGCTTTGGGTTCCCCAATCCAGGCACCTTTCATATCTCATGCGGTGTCGCTGAGCTCCCAATTCGCAATACAGGATGCACAAACGTGGATTCCTCCAATAGACAAAACAAGTCCTCCACAGAGACTAGGAAGACCACCGTTATTCCCATCTTCCACGAATTTTAATTTTTCAATGCCCAGTCCTTCAGCCCAGTTCCCCACAAGTCCCAGCAGCTCTGCAGTGCTTCAACCCGGTGCCCAGATGTCACAGAGTGGCGGTTTCCAACCATATGGAAAGCCTACCTTGAGCAGGCAGAGGTGCGCTAATACAGTTCTTATTGGTTGCTACCGGTTACAGTTTTTTTTTTACTTCATCTAATATAACATTGCAATTATGCAAAATAATACATTATAATTATGCAATAGTTAAATACCTGTCATATGATTGGTCTGTTTGATTTGTCTTATAGCTCCAGCCATTCGGAATCGTCTTTGAATTCGGCCAACCGTAAGCAGGTGGCCAAGAAAAGCACTACCTTCCGCCAGGTGACCACATCCACCAGAATTACTGACTCCGATATCAGCTGGCCTGCCACAAACTACAGCTACATGCCACGGTGAGTTACTCACATCTGTGACCATAGCTATCAAAATATTGAGTCAGATTTTAAATAGTTTTTTACTGTTACGATGCATGCATGTAAAGAATATATGTTTTTCTATTATATATGGGAGGAGCAGTGATACAATGATTAATGCAATGGATTGTGAACTTGGTGACCTGATTTCGACTGGCGCCACAGCTAACATCAGTGGTGAATGATATCTGAACATAATTCTAGATTTTTGTTTTCGCTACATTGACCCCACCTGAAGAAGGACGCTTGTGTTGCGCCCGAAACGTCGTGATTTTATTTTAGTTGTTTTCATTCTATTTTATTTCATTTGTTAATTTTTTTACCTACGTGACTTTACCGAAAAAAAGAAACAAAGTATGATATCTGAACAGTTCTTAAAGCCCAACTATAACTGACCAGCAAGTTGTGGAAGTATTTTACAAACGAACATCAAGACCGACATGGTACGGGGAGGCTGTCATTCATTTTATTAATAAATGAATGTATATATGGGATGTATTTGAGTCAAATGACCCTGGGAACCACTTGTGCTACATTCACCACAGTGAAAAAAAACACTACTTTTGAATTTACCCGCAACGAAGACTTGTAACAATTCATAAAATCGCGAGTTGGTTCGGTGAGCAAATCGTTACTTGGGAGCTCATTTTGCACTCTGCCTGCCTGTCAAAACAAATGACTTCAGATGTATCGTTCTAAGGCCGTTCTCATATTTTGCAGCCCAGTGGATTTAACAGGACCCCCTGCTCGTAGCTCTGCAGGGGAGCGTGTTGTTCGCGGGCATTCCGAGTACGTGCAGGAAGACATCTCGCATAATGTGGGAGAGTCGCAGATGTACATGCCCACCAATAGCAAAATGGAAGTGAGTATTCTATTATTTTTATCATTTTTTACCTACGTGACTTTACCGAAAAAACCTAAGAGTATGAATCCTTGCAGTCACGAAAGCTTCAAATCTAGAATGAGTATTTTTTGTTTCGTTAGCTATAAACTAAAATGTATATTACATGAAATCGTCCTGCAACGCACCTGATCTTGTCAGATCTTGGGAGCAAAGTGTGCTTGGATAGTGTTGGATTGGTAACTACTGTACATAACAGGTTTCATAGACTACTGTGGAGCTACGTTTGTGGGCAGCAGATTTGCATTGTTTAGATTCTAAAGTTCTAAGTATGGTCTAAGAACTCCCACGACTCGCATGGTGCATCGAGGCCCTCGCCCAGCATTGGATTGACAAAAGGCTTGTACTGTACATGTTTATATTACTTGAAACCTGAAATGTGTGTGTTACGTACGTATATGAATGTGTATATGCTTCAGTATTCGCGGGGACACGTTCATGGAGAATGGTGGGAGTTTCTTATAAATAAATATGAATACTTAAAGAGAAAAATAAAAATAGAGTTAGGCGGCATAACATATTATGTTTATACATATATTGTACAGTAATACCTCGTATACAAAAGAATAGGTTTTTGCTTTTCTGTCAATAGGTGTTAAGATGGTCAAACACCAAGTAGATACCTTTTGAAAGGAATCGGGTCTGCATTAACCATGTGCATTTGTGGTAAAACATGCAAATAAACATGCTCTGGTAATATATGTATTGTTTTTTTACTGATAGGCCTACACTAGAGACAGCCTTCTTTATGGTCTTGTCTCACCAGTATCAGACCAGAGAATTCCAAAAGGCAAAACGGTACAAATACAATGCAAGTATCAAGAGCATTTGCAGCAGACAAAGGCAGATGGAAAGGCAGAGCAGTGATGCGTGGGCCAGCTTTTGTGCTCTCACAAATCTACATCGCTCCCATGCGTCACCACTTCTTGTCGGGTAGTAGCATGCTATGGCCGCGAGCATTTAATATACAACCCCGAGAAAATCTAATGGCGCGGCAATAAATTTGTCGCCAATGTGTCAAACCCTGATTAGAAAGCCCACAAATATTGAGAGTTTACTGTATTCTTGATTAGGGGTTAAAAGTACAGCTTCACTGATGTCGTGGTTGCCTTCCATTCATGTCTCTTCAGGCTCTGGCAACATACCCAATATACAAGGCGCCGAAAGAGAAGCTGTTGTACGTTCCACACGCATGTGGCCAGAGCTGCTTGAGGAGTTTACGGCCAGCCAACCTCGACAAGTACAAGGGCAGGAACCCACTCCTAGTTCCACTCCTTTATGACTTTAGGCGACTCAGCGCACGCCGGAAGATCAACCGCAAGGTTTGGAATGCAATTTTGCAAGTGACTCATCTTCCGTTATTTCCTCCACTAACAGTTACTTGTTGGCTTATTTACTGCTCGTTGACTATATTACGATCCGTGTATTTGTAAGACTGCGTCGCTGTTGTTGCAAAGAGCCGCTCTTGGTGGCCACGTGTCTAACTTTCCATTTTTACACAGGCACCGTTCCACATGATGTACAGGGCGCCATGTGGCCGCAGCCTGCGCTGCATGATGGAGGTACAGCGTTACCTGTTCGAGACGTACGCCAACTTCCTCTTCCTCGAGCAGTTTTGCTTCGACCCGTACGTGATGGCAGAGCGGCGCATCAGCACCGTGAAGCCGCTGTACTGCGTTCGCGACATCACAAACGGCGTGGAGGATGTGCCCGTGTCGTGCGTGAACGAGATCGATTCGGAGCCGCCGCCGGACGCCGCGTACAGCAAAGTGCGCATCCCCGAGCATGGAGTCTTCATCAACACGAGCTCCGAGTTCCTCGTGTGCTGCAGCTGCACCGACGGCTGTCAAGACAAGTGAGCACCCCCACACGACACACTTGTTGTTGTTGTTGCATTGTGCAAACAATTAGTCACTCAAATGTGCATGCATGAACAACAGCCCTTTCAAATCACATTATTTGTTGCTGTGTGGTTTGTACACAATTGATAATTTGCAAGTCATTTTCATATTTAGCAAATGTGGACTGTGACGTCTGCAAACTTAGCTTGCTAATTTTCTAATAACGTTATGGGCTTCTTTAAAATCCATAGGGAAGTAGAGGAGGGAGGGTGGGTTGTTTACATACCCACCATATCAACCAAGGGAGTTGCTGGCTTTGAACCACAAACCTTTGCAAAAAACGACGACCGATGCCCTACTGCTTGGTGTAGCCCCCTTGTCAGTTGCTTGCTGGATGAGGGCCTGCGCATGCCATACTTGTCATGGGGTTAGTTGGACCATTAACCATGCTGGTCACTGCGGGTTAGTGAAGGCTCGGAGCATACAAGTCCAGTATAACAATGGATTTTGCAGCACTTCCCTCTCCTGCCTACCACTTAACCCCATAGCCTATAATACCTGCTTTGCATGGTGGTTTCATATCCCATCACTGTCTTGGCCTTACCCTGTCTCTATTTGTCTATTTAAGATATCAATTGATTCACATTTTCAATCTCATTTTGCATTTACTTAAAGCCAGTCACAAGAGGACATTGAGACGAAGTCTATCAAGGGAGACCTATGTCACGAAACAATATACAGGCAGAGCTTGCTTAGCGCAACCCTGTAGAAGGCTGATTTGTAATAGCGTTCTTTGTCCTGGTGAACATGTTTTCAAAATATTGAAGCAAATCTATTAAGTGCTAATGAGTGAGAACACGCAGCAGTGCTGGCCGAGGAAACGCACCCATTCCCATTATTCACTCAGCCAATGAGAGTGACGTATGCTAAGAGCCAACCAGACCTCACCCCCTGCGATACAATTATCACGATTCATAGCGCTCACTTCTCCAGGAACGCATCTTGAGCGCTAAGTGAGGTCTGCCTCTCGTACATTTGATTAAATATCGAAAAGGGTATACAGCAGCAACATTAACAAATACACAACAAACTATTTACTTTTACGTAACATCAAGAAATGAAAATATGCAGTAGAACGTTTTAAATGTAACTTAACCTATGGTCATATAAAATAAGAAATGAGGTATGAGGCATTATTCAAACGCACTTACATTCAGATTGTCCAAGCAGTGAGTCCAATTGTTCATTTAAAATCTGGTTCCGAGGGTTTGTTTTATAAATTTGTGGTTCCTGAGTGTTGTTACCTTCATGCCTTTTTCAGGCTCAGACTTTTAATGGATTACATTGTCACAAGTGACCACTACATTTAATGTGAAAATTGTGTTTAGTTTGGCTTTAGGAATATCATATTTGCTGTATCCAAAGCTTCTGCTTGCTTGAACTTGTTGGTGAAATATTTGTTCAAATAGATAATTTTATTTGCTTGCACTGTTATTTGTTGGCAAGATCAGAGCTCTGCCCTTTGCCAGGTGATCTTGTAACCTGTTATTTTGGCATCAGGTCCAAGTGTGCATGCCAGCAGCTCACGATGGATGCAACTGGCTGCAGCCCAGGAGGCCAGACCAACCCGGATGCTGGATACCACAACAAGAGGCTTGAAGAGTGCTTGCCAACAGGGTAATAAAGCATGAGCACCCTGCCATGGGAATGTTATGTTTTATGCCTACTTGCGGGTGCGGTGTTATCACACAAGTGATTTGTACGTATGTGCGATACCTTGCGCCCCTGACAGGATGCATAGCGGACCTCTGCACAGTTGCACTTTAATGTTACGCTCCCCTTATGTGCCTTTATGCGTCAGGATTTATGAGTGCAACAAGCAGTGCAAGTGCAACGTGCGGATGTGCCAGAACCGCCTGGTACAGCATGGCCTGCAGGTGCGGCTGCAGCTCTTTAAGACTCAAAACAAGGGCTGGGGCATCCGCTGCTTGGATGACATCAGCAAAGGATCCTACGTTTGCATCTATGCAGGTATATATTTGGCGATTTCCTTGAGTCTTTTTCCTGTCATGAGAATATAAGCTTGTGTTTTTTTACATTTGCTGTGTGAAAGACGAGTTGTTTTTGGGTTTTTAATAACAATTGGTTGTTACTGCTTAATTTCCTTTTTAATACATGAATCGTATACCGCAAATCGGATCAACGTAGTGCAAATTTTGAGATTTTAATTTCGCCTTGCTGTTTATCAGAATGTATGGTGTGAAATTGTCACATTTCACTGCTTGGAAATGGATTTGGGTGCATGAACTGAGCCAAAGCAGGAATTGTTATTCATATTTTTGTATTGTCCTTTGAAGGCAAGATCCTTACAGACGACACTGCCGACAAAGAGGGGCTGGAGATGGGTGACGAGTATTTTGCCAACCTTGACTACATTGAGAGTGTGGAGCGACACAAGGATGGGTACGCATAGCTATGGCTTTCGGTACTAATAACGTATCAGAGAGGTACCAGCCCACTATAGTCTTGCAAAATATTGCAACACATGTAGCTTTGCTTTTTTTTATTACTGCATTTCTTGAATCTTGACATGGAAATACATTTCATACCTAGTCACCAAGGTATTTTAGTGCCTTTCTAAATCCTACTGAATTTGATTTCAGAGTTTAAACTTCTTAACTGAATGTTTATGTCTATTTTGAGTACATCTGCCATTAATTAAAACAGGAAAACAATGTAACTTTAATGTTTGAGATGTTAGGGGCAGATAGCAGGGTTACATACATTTTTACTTACTTAAAAATAACCAATGTTGCCTTGTAAACTGAAAAAATGTATATCAAACTAATGTTGTGTACAGTGACTAGAGAATCATGGCAATGGTGTTTGAGAAGAGGTCATTTCCCTAATGTCAGCTTATTACACGTGTTTAGTTTCACATGGCAGTGCTTGTCAATAAAGATGGTGATCTTAAATATTATGATCAAAGCTTAAACGTGTCAGGATGTAAAATGACACTAAATTTGAAAGCTTGTGTATTGCATAAAATTGTTTGTGGGGAAAAAAGTATGTAATGCAGATTAAAGTGAGGTCAATTTGATTGCAATAGTTGCTATCAATTGTCACTGACAATTATTTCTGCCACCATTTTATATTGCTAAACATTCCTAGAGTCAGTAACTGGGATGGTAACTTCCACTCGCAACAGAGAGCACATGACGACACGAGGTTGTGTGCTTTGCAGCGAAAATACATTGCTCATCAAACTTTACAAACAGTTTTTATTGACCGAATAGAAATCCATCGCTCTATGCCATTGCCATAGCAGGTTCACAGCAGCTTGTACTAAATGTGCTGCTGCCAGTGATGATTGCTGGAAACGATTGCCTCAAATATGCCAGAGCGGGTCATGGCCCTATTAAGGTTTGGACACCCCAAGCACGGAGAGGTGACATCTTCGCGTGTGCAGGTACGAGAGTGAGGCGCTGGCATCCAGTGAAAGCAGCGGCGTCAATGTGAAGGGGGGCGACGATGATGAGGGCAGTGACGACAGCGAGAGCTTCTGCAGTAACGACCACCCTGAGTACAGGAGCCCCAGGGGTATGTTGCATGGCACCTTGCCACCAGACCTGATGTTTACTTGTGGCTATCGCTATCAAGCTGGACTGCATACTCGTTTTAAAATCTTTACTCAACATGTTAAGCACGTATCACATCACATTTACACCATATTTTTTGTTGTTGAAAAGTTCATCATCTCTTGAGCGTTGATCAAACACTGCTACTCAATCTTAATGCTATTTATTTAGGAAGTTGTCACTCCGTCTCTGTACTTATTTTCAGGAGGGTCCCATATTGGGATATTTGGCCATTACCACTGAGTGTTTTGCATATAGGGGATGACACTGAAGTCCCGAAAGAAAACCGCCACATATAATGGGTTAACACTCAAAGGTCTGTACAGTTCATTGATGTAATGCCATTTTCTGGCTACCTGAGGTCAACAGGTTTGAGAATTTCTAAAATTAGCATAATCTTTCCAAAGCCTTTTTTCTAGTTTGCGAAATTAGAGGCATTTGTTACTCTCCTTGCTTTGTGGGAAATTAAATAGGGGTCATCCCCACGGAGAGATGAACAGCTTTTACACAATAGAATATGGATTTACATCGCGCATGAATGCAGCTGCATCCCATGATGCTGTATAAATCCATTGGAATGAAGATTTTCAACCACTGGCTCAGTTGCTGCCAAATGAGTTGAGTGCCACTCCATTAGTAGTTTGATAACTAATTCGCCTTATAGTGTGCAACATTTGCATACGGCAGCATAATTTGAGCTACGTATCTCAGCATTTGTAACTACCTGTTTGCTTATATAAAAAATATTTACATCATTTTGTCAATCTACTGTTGGATGAGTAGTTCCATGTCAGTCAAGTTGGGGTTATTTGATCATACTTAAACGTGCTGATCAGTGCAAATTTGGAACTCATTGCTGTTAATGATGATATTTGATTGTCTTTATTCATGTCTGTATTAAACACTTCTCTCCACTCATCTTATAAGTTTAAGCTGACTTTGAATTTTAAACATTAACTTCATCCAGTTTTAGAGTTGTGTTTTTACATTCTCTCCATCCATGAATATTTTCCCTATTGTATTCACCCCCCCCCCCCCCTCTCGGCTCTATATATATGTAAGGACTTGTTTCAGCAGCCTGTTTGTCTATCCCACCTGAGGACGATTGCTTGCGTGGCGATCGAAACGTTGTGATCTATTATTTTTTCTACCTACGTGACTTTACCGAAAGAACCAAAGAGTATGAATTCCTGCAGTCACCAAAGCTTCAAATCAAGATTCACCCTCATATCTTCAATAACCTTTACCCAAGCTGCCTACCTCATCAATCGTAATGAAAAAAAATGTAATTGTGAAAACTTGAACGTGAAATCTAAATCTCGGATTATTCATATATTTGTGTTGATATTTACATTTTCTGTAATGCCTATGAAAAATTACTAGGAATGTGCCCAATCTTGTCAGATCTCAGAAGCAAATTTCTGTTTAGCCTGAAAAGTACATAGATTGTGACCATTTTGCACATCAGGCTGTAGGCTGCTGCCAGGCTACGTTATACACAGCTGAGGGCAATGCAGTAAAATCCATTGTGCTGCACTTTCTATGCCCCCGCATCTATACTGCTCCTGTCTTTACTGATCCGCAATGACCAATTCCCCTTGAGCTGCACAGCATGAGAAGGCCCTCACCCAGCAGTGTATTGATAAAAAGGGGCTACACACATGTAATTGTCTATTGTCTTGGCAATATGAACAGCCCGTGACAAAGAACGCGACCGGGACCGGGTTGGTCGAAACAGCAGCGGTGGCTCCAGCAACGTCCCAATGGCATTTGTGCGGAAGCTGCAGAAGAAGCAAAAGCAGAGCACGACCACACCGCCGGACGGCTCGGACGCCACTCCATTTTGCAGCTCGTCGCCCGCACCCCCAACGCCGCCCGTAAACTCGGAGACAGCCAAGCACAAGGTGGGAGTCCACATTGTGTGCAGTGTCAAGTAATTTTTTTAATTTTACCAGGTAAGGCCCATGGAGCTATATCGCTCTTTTTTTTCAGAAGTAACCTGGCCGCAAATGATAGCTCAACAAAGCGACTTGTTACGTGGAAATTTATAGCAGGCACTTCATCTTAAACGCATGTTGATTCTAAATGTGGAGGGAAAAACCGGAGGACCCGGAGAAAAATCCACGCCACCACGGGGAGAAGATGCAAACTCCAAATATACAGGTGTCGGGGTCAGGATCGAACCCACGACATCCTGCATACCAGGGGAGGGAGTGAACATCTCGCCACCACGGCACTGCATTTCGTAGCACGCCAATGTGGCGAGTACTGGGTGGCAGGGTAAAATATTACAATAACCATCTTTGCTTAAAGAGAACGCATGCTGTGGATTGAAGCTACACTGTCCATGTTGAGCTGTTTTGTCAGCCCACTGCTGGATGAGGCCCTCCCATCCGGATCATGGGGTTTATTTAACCATACCTCACCACATTGGTCAATGTGGGTTGGTGAAAGTGAGATGCTTAGACGTTAGAGCACAGTATTGTTGTATAACAGTTGATTTCGTCAAACTAAAATAAGTCGCTTGCAAAGAGAGAATGCTTTACAACTTTTGCCTGATATGGCAACAACCTAATTTATTATACTAATTTCTAAATATTGGTATTGATTATTTCGTGTGTGACGGTATATACTGACAATTGGGTGTTGAATGTATTTTGTTGATTTTATTTGCTGTTTATATTTGTGAGATTTGAATATGTATTTAGAGTGTGTTGTGTTCTCTTCTGTAGGTAGCGTCGTGGCTAAGCGCCAACCAACTCGATGCTCTGACGGTGCAAGACTCTGACAGTCGTTCTTCCTTCAAAAATGTAGAAGACTTAACCAAGGATTCCAGCAAGGTCAGTGCCCTTATGGGTGTTTAGTTCTTAAACAAATTTTGATCAAATCTCTTGATTTTGTGATAATAGGAGAGTATGGAGTTGCTGAAAATGTGAGTTACACTTGGGTTAAAATAAACAAAAATCCTTAAGGGTCATTTTACCATTGGTGGTAGTGTTGTAATTACAGTTTGGCTGTGTTCTTTAATTCCATGATTGCTTTTCATCTCTGATTACAGGCTGCCGAACCGAAACAACTTTCTGCTCCACAGTAAGTATTTGGTGTTAGAAATCTAATTTCAAAATGAAACGGTGCATTATGAACTCGTTGCTGAAAGCATATTCATTGCATCATTAATGTAGATAAACTAATAATTGCAGACTTTTTGTCAGTCGACTTCTGGATGAAGGTCTACCCATGCCTTTGAGCCATTGTAGATGTTTGACCATTTTTCACCACTCTGGTCAGTGCGGGTTGGTGAAGAGGAGCCGGGAGCGGTTCAGATATTGCACGTTACTAATATTAGCCGTGGCTGGGAATTAAACACAGATCCACCAGGTTTATAGCGAATTGCACGAACTCCTTAACACTTACTAATATTATTTAGGCTTGTTAGATATAACAACAATAACATAATTTGGATTAAATTATTCGTATAATTATAATTAACACTGGGAAAAGGATATTTAAGTAATGTAATCTATTGTAACATTCTGTGTTCATGTTCTTAGCTTTGTTGTGCTATAAAAAATGCACGTGTTTGAAAGATGCAGTACATTTTAATGTTAATCAGGAAACGGTAAAATACAAACACAATTGAATAAGCCCTTTGTAAATTGTAAATTTTTAAGGTCTCATTTGAATACCATTATTGAACTGGTCCTGGACCACCTCTAGGTCTATGCAGCCTCAAATGAGCACCTGGTGTGGTGTGTAAACATCACCACTTCGGAGACAAAGGCGGTCGGGCGTGGTGTTGGCCACCCACCCCCTCGTGTGCCGTGCCTGCCTTCATAGGTTCTCGCTTAACTGCACTTGCCCCAACAGTCTGTTAAGTCATATGGGGGGAGCTTTGTCTTTGCTTTTGTAACTGATAGACAACGTATGGCTTCACGGTGGCACTACCATACTGCTTAATTTGAATAACCATCTCAGTTTAACACGTAGGCTTTCGCGACCAGTGTTGTTCATAATCAACGTTTTTGGGTTTAGATCGCGTTATTTCTAAATGTGTCGTAACCCTCCACCACCCGACATGGCCAATCAGTAAAAAAGTGTCACGTTGAAAAAAGACAAATAGTTCACTGCTTAAGCCCACCGGTGTGTTGAAGCCACAACATTTACAATTTGAGTACGACGTTTCGCTGGTAATTGCATCCAGCATCATCGGGCAATTCGCCAGAATGGTGAGGCTCTGCTGTGTCTCCCGTTCTTATATAGAGCAGCAGCAGGGTGACGTCATCATTAACTCATTAACTCATCAGGTGCAAAGATTCAAGGAGGGAGTGATAGTAATTATATACTAGATTAGTAATCAGGCTATTGTTACGATGCGAGTTGTAGATTAGTAATCATTTGGAATGTGTTTTATTGTGATTATGCTTCATTAGTAATCAGTTAGTGTTTGTTTCCCTTATAAGGAATTGTAATGTATCTTATTTAATAATATGCTTCCAGGCCGCACTAAGCCTGTAGCTGTCTGAGCGATTAAAGTTATTTCTGTTTCTCTCAATTTCAATCGATTCTCTAATTAGTCTTTGCCAGCTTGTCCATACATATTGGTTTGTTATGCGTCTTGTTTTATGAAGTGACTTATGCTGGCTTGTTTATTTATTGTGATGGTTCCGTGAGGGCGTAACAAATCAGAAGTCAATGGCATCTTAAGACCACAGTGCAGGTGGGAATATATAGGAGGTCATAATTTTGATATGCTTAATGGGAATTATAATATACAATAGAAAATATAATTGGCCGCCAGTGGATTATAAACAGATTATACGATGGTGATGAATGGTGTTTTTTCACTTTGTGTTGAATATAATTTTGAACAAATGTTTTGTATAGCTGACTAACACGTTTTTTTGTATTTCTCAGCTACAGAGCAGTGGATCCCAAAGATGATGTGAGAAATTGTATTTTAATTGTCTTTGTTTCCCAGATTGAAAAACTCAATTATGTTTACATGATTACACTCTGATGAGGATGAAAGCTTTCATGACATTGCAGTTGCATTAATCTACTGTACAGTTATTGTCAAGGCCAAGAGGTCATCACATTCGTAGATTAATGTCTCATCACGTATGCCAGAATGTTGTCACATTTTTCATGAACCACACCACTAAACTTCTTTGACATTTTATTAACTCTTGCATTCTTAAAATGCATGCACACAGAGTGCGCACATTGGAAATTCACATGCTGCAAGTTAATTAAGAGTTCCAATTTCTGGCCCATGTGACGTGATGCAGGAGATTATGATTCTGTCGAGCAGCTCTGAGTGTGAATTTCAAGGAAGCGTTGGAGTGAACAGGACTCAGCGGGCAGGAGGTGGCGGTATTACACCGCTATCCAATGGTCTCCTGCAGAAGGGCTCCACCAATGCTGTGCCAACTTTAAACAGTGATGATGTGCAGACAATCTCATCTGGCACAGACAGTGACTTGGGTGAGTTGATGTTGGGAGAGGTGGGGGGTATGTCTAATGGTTTCTGTGCTGGTGTGGTCTGCATACTTATTGCCGTCTTCAGAACGTGCATCGGCTGTTGGACTAAAATTTTATTTTTATGTGATGAAATGGACCCCTGTCTATTTTGTTACCTAATGGACTGACATTGCTTTACTTATCTACCATTATATTTTGTGCATTGGAGAACTGTCTTGGCCGTGAGAGCATATTGTTCTCTCTTTATCTGTTTATTTGTAATATATGCAGATCTTGGTAATGTAACATTACATTTGTTTACTCAAAACGCCTTGATCTGATTTTCAATACTTTCAAAAGTTTGACCAGTTCCTTTTTTCAATGCAATTTTTTTCGTATCGAATAGGGATTGAATTTATTCACCTACTTCATGGCTAATGGGTGTGCACCTCTGATTAGCACCGTTGGCTACGTATGGTGCGAAAGAAGTTCAACATACATATGTACCCAGAGCACTGGGTTCGATAAAATTGAATATGCTTTGTGGAAAATCGACAATTATTCTCTTATAGAAAATATCCCCTGCATTAGATAATTTCCACCACCAGGCGAAGGTTGCCAACATAGATAATTATATATATATATAATTGCCCGTCACCCCATGTTTGTTCGCGCAAAGCACCACCGACTTGAACTTTGAAAGTAACATCAGCCGTAATTTATTGTTCACCAATTGCGTCTCATTTAAATTTTCTCTTTGCCGGCAGATCGTCCGCTGAAGCGGCAGGTCGCCGTGAAGCGAGGGTTTGCGTTCAAGACGACGGCACGCGGTGTCGCCGTCAAGTCTACGGGGATGCGACGTGAGCTGGGGCGGGGGCCGGTGTCGACACAGTCCGGGCCCGGGCAGAAGGGGGGCGGCCCTTCCGGTGGCGGGGGCTCCGGCACGGGCGAAGGCGGCAACCAGCCGGAGAAGAAGAGCACGCGCGAGTTTTTTGATGGCGAGGACTCGTGCTACATCATCGATGCGAAACTCATTGGAAATCTCGGCCGATACCTCAATGTTAGCACACGTTGTGTTGCATTTAACATTTTGTGGATGCGTTGAAACCTTGCGTTGTCTTGTTATGTGTTTTTATGCTCGGTCATATTTGGAATGTGTTCCAGTATTAATTAGTTGTGTTTTTTTGCCTTCCAGCATAGCTGCAGTCCAAACCTTTTTGTACAAAATGTATTTGTGGACACCCATGATCTGCGCTTCCCCTGGGTAGCCTTCTTTGCCAGCAAGTAAGTAGACATCGCCATATGCAGCACTTTAAGGCAGCCTTTATTCTCCGATTCTCTTAAATTATGTCAAATGCCTTATCATGGCCAGGCCTGCTTCTTTTCTGTTACAATAAACATGTTTTTTTTAAATCCTTTTTTCCCCCATTGTGTTCCACGATACAGGCGCATTCGGGCAGGCACAGAGCTGACGTGGGATTACAGCTATGAAGTGGGCAGCGTGCCAGGTAAAGAGCTGCTCTGCTACTGTGGCTCCACTGAATGCAGAGGAAGGCTGTTGTAGTGCTTGAAGAAAACCCCAAGCTCGTCTCACAGACAACCACAATGGCCCCTGTAAGTATGGGGGCCCATGCTGTTTAATTTTCTTCCTTTCAACCTCGACTCTCGGTGCCACTGTTCTGACATCGCTTTCTCTCCACGGTTGTGATTGCTTGACATAACTTTAAACTATTACAATAAAACAAATGAAATGCTTAAGAACCGTTAAAGTTTACCATTTTTTTATGCCTTGGTTATTTCGACAAAAACACATGCATCATATCAGCATACTTTACTTTTGAGCACATTAAATTTTTGGACACCCGTTGCCATTTCAGAACTGAAGTAAACCTTGGAACACATTTGACATGTTTTATGAATATTTAAATTCCTGTAAATGTTGTGTTTTGACCTCGTTTTTAAATTTTAAATGCTGTATAATGCTTGTGCAGATATTGGATTGTGTGATTTTTTTATTATTATTTCTTTTGTAATGAGATGTAATACCCAAAAAAGAAGTCGTTATTTGTTATGCATTGCCAATGAAATCTAATTGGGTATTGACACGGCTGTTGCATATAATTTGGTAAATTAATTATTCCACTTGAAACGTGACTTTTTGTTTAATAATTTGTAGTTACGATGTACGGAAATGTTGCTTGAAATAAACGTTTAACGTCCAGTATTTTTTTACAGTTGGGTGTTCATTTTTTTATTTTCTTTATTATGCCTTGGAATGTTGTGGAAATGTGTACTTTAGTATTATAAGGTAATCCATCTGTACAGAGCTTTCATTGACATGTTATACATTTTGTATAAAAAACTAACGTGAGAATTGGGATTTGTTTTAGAGTTTTTTTTAATTAAGTTTAAGCTCAAGTCCTTTATTGTAATTTTTTTTTCTTTTTCCTCTGACATCGGTAAATTTTCAGTTTTCCTTCTTGCAATGTTACATTCACGAATGTGCTAAATCTTATTCATGAACCTAGCAGCTGATCTTTATTCATCAGCGCATTTCTAATGCAGACTGCAAAGTGCAAAACAAATTGCTTCCATTAAATATGCGTCGGGAACACAGAAATATGAGTCGGCCAATGATAAAAAGTCATGCACAGTTTTTTTTAATATTTGCCCTTTGGTGTTAGAAATACACCAATATCAGAATCCCAGTTGTGTATCCGTCAACTGCTATGATATTGACGACATTCTCTGTTCAAGTGACTACTCTATATGATTGCTGATGTGAAAATGTTTATCATTAGTTGTAAAGCCTAAGGCATCTTTAAAATATTTTTAGAGCCATTCCTCTCGCATGCCTTTTTTGGGATCGGGCTAAAGGTCTTAAAGCATCCCCCCTCAATATTGCGGCACTGGTATAGTTCTAGGATATGCGAATGTCCCACCTAATACCAATGCCTCCAAAAAAACATCTGATTGAAGACCCCCCAAAAAAACACCCTTCAGGCCTTACCCCAGAAACAATGGTCCCCATTGAACCATTTCGGAACATTGCATGAGAGATGCGGTCATCTTTTACACCCCTGGAAGATGGAAACGCACACAATGTGACCGCGGACACTAATCAAACTGGACCATGTTGTAAATCAGTGCCCATTTCTATCGTTTGCTGGTGGCATTGCAGATTTCTAAGCCACTTCATAAGCTGTCCACTGGTTCATTAATCTTGACTTGGTTATTTTAATGTTGCCAATCACCTCTACGTATGCAAGTAGAAGAAGACCTGTGTAACAAACTACCGTAATTAAAATAACAGTACTTTTTTTTAAAGACTGATCACGTGCCTCTTATCCAATATTTACAGCACATTGTTTTTGCCCCGTTATATGTTTCATTTATATTTATGCACAGGTCACTTTGTATCGTACAGATTAAAAAAAAAATCCAAATGTGAATTTTTTTTTAAACTGTGGTGTTTTCCTGGATAAATTGGATTTGTTGGCAATTGACTTCAATGGGCTTTCATGTGATTATAATGTAAGTGTACTGTAAAGGTATATGCTTTTGCAAGCTTAAAAAGATAGAAATTAGACAACCATAGTTTGTTAAATAACCAAAATCTGCTGTGTTCAGTAAAAAAATACTGAACAGATGTACATGCTAAGACCAGTATTTAAATTAAGACTTTTACCGTACAACACTACAGTGTACTCTTAACATTTTGTAACCCACCAGCGTTTTTAATTATATTGCTTGATTAATCCATGTTCACGTGATTAATCAAATACAAGTGCCATTGTGCGCTAGCCATTAAAACACCTCAAGCACAAAGCCTGGCACTTGTCCCAAATGAAGTGGCGTTGGGGATTTGTGCAATTATGACTTGGGCCAGTGATAGTGTGCCACATGGGTGCTAAAAGATGATAAATACTCTGCAGTGAAATATAAAAGGTTGTTATGATTGGTTTTGCCCCTGATGGGCAGAGCTGAGATGTATGGATTTTTTTTCTTCTCTTTCCAAGTGCTGGATCCCAGGAGGAGCTAGTTTTTACTTTTCTGCCCCATCTGAACTCAATCCCATTTATTCTGTTTGAAATGTAAAATTTTAAGGTTAATAGAATTGATCTAACCACTCACTTGGTGCTCCTAGAGCCGGTGTGGTAATATCTAACAATGCTCTATTGCTGATTGTGTGGTGATAATGTACATACTGTAAATTATATCTTTTTCAGTAAATAACTTGGAAGGATTTTGTGTGTACATGAATTTTATTTGATTTAATATATACTTTATTTCATGAGTTTGTGTTGGGATTTAAATTTACTCCGTTTTCTTGGTATCTCTTGCAGTGAAAATTGTAAGCATTCAATCGAACTTTTCTAATTGTAAGGTTATGTTTATGTATTTTTTTTAAGGTTAAAGGAATCCTGGTGATGGCCTGATTCTCCCAACTTGGTACAAATAAATTTTGATTTAAAGCTTTCGTGACTGCAGGGATTCATATTCTTGGTTCTTTCGGTAAAGTCACGTAGAAGGGACTTTACCGAAAGAACCAAAAATATTGTTACAAATAGTTTATTAAAAGTACTGATTTCCTCCAAGTGGAAAGTGACTAACTCCATGGAGATTTGCCAAGTTTGCTTGGTAATTATTGCCCTTCTACTATGGGGATTCCCACCGCATATTCTCACCACAGTTTATTTTCCTGGATACATCTGGTGCAGGGCTAAGATTTCTATTTCACATCTGCCACCTCGGAGTGGCGGCATTGGCATTTTGGGCGAAAGATTGTCAAATTAATGTTCAGCATTGGGCGACTTGTGACCCAAGGTTAACACTGGTCAACACACTTTTTCTGGCATAAGGTATTCCAACGGTTTCAAGGTAATTGTGGGGTGCCGATTCCAAATCTGGCATCAGTTTTTGTCTATCACATCAGGTTTTTGAGATATCAAACATTGCATTTTCAATAAAAACTGCAGAAGAAAAATATTAAATAAATGTGGATATCTACATAAAATGATAATATAAACACACTATCCTAAAAATACAGCACAATATTTTAACACTAAAGCAGTCACTGACTCGCAACAACTTGCAATCATAAGTGACAGAGTTAATTTCGGGTAAAATCAATGAAAATGGGGTATGCCGATAGCATAAAAATGAGCAGTGATAGAGCAAATCTGAGATCAGATTTGGAATTGGCACCCTGAAATTAGTCTAAAACGGCTGCAAAAGTCCAGGCCAGAAAAAAAAGTTTTTTGTTGTTGACCAGTGTTATAGAATCTTCAGGTGGGCGACATTGGAATCGTTGTGTACAGCACTGAACTAATGTTTGCTGCTATGCGGGAGGGTAATAGTTGTTTTTGGGCAGAGAAGGATGACGAAATGCGATTCTCATTCAGAGCTGTATTTGCCAGCGCAGTGGTAAGTGAATTTTAATTACTTGCCTAATACTTGCATATCTTTGTGGTGGATGCAAGCCGTTGTGTATTATGAAGATGTACTCATTTGGATATATATAGAATGTGGTACAACCCGAAGACAAATAGTTTTTATAGCACAACTGCAACAACCTACGCAGTATTTAAACATGTTTTTGCGCCATATTGGTTCACTAGCCATGAGCTGGCCAAATATTTGGATCGGCGAGAGCAGAAAATCCTGCTGTGGTGTAACACGAGCACCTATCTGCCCTGTGCAGCCCTTGTTGCAGCCACATTTTTTTCCGCGTGACACTTTGTCATCTGCATTTCCAGCCACAATTGAATTTCCCCTTTAGATCCACTTCTAATTTACGATTGTGGCAATGTAAATATGGGGGGGGGGGGGGGGGAGGAATCTGCCAAACGTTTAACGTGTTGGATTTCATAATATATGATAGGCAAGCAATTCTTCCATTTAAAATAAATGTGCTTGAATCGCATGGTTGCTAGGGTGAGCAGACTTACACATTTAAGAAGTGAATTGTTAAAAAATAGTGTTAGTAATATGTGGAAAACTGGATATTAATAATGGTTACATGGCTGGGTGTGTTATCTATCAGGCAATGGTAAATAGTGCAACAAAATCAGCTGCGAACACATTGAAAGTCACATACAATAGACAAACACATCTGGTTAGGAAAAAAACTGCCATTCTGGAGGCACATGATTAATGTTGCTCGTTTGTTTTGCAAGTCACTGCAATAGAAAATGTATTTATACTATTCATGTTTTATTGCAACTTGCAAGAGATTTTATAAAATCATTTCTGAAAAGGTCGTACTAGTATGCAATTCAAATTTTCCACAAGTTATGCAAATTCCCATTCGTTGCAGAGGTTGAGCCTGGTAATACACATTCAGCAAACCATTCCCTATCGCGTGTTTAGCTATCGCGGTTTCGCGTCGAATTTATTAAGGTACAGTTCGCTAATCTCACCCTTACGGCCCGACCATTCGCTGTTGACCGTATATGAACCTTATGGCGGAACTCCGGGGTCCCGAATAAATGGAAGTCAAAATCGTACGGGGTGACCAGCCCCTCCCCACCCAGCCCCATCCCTCCCACCCCCCACCCAGCCCCACCCTCCCCACCCAGCTCCTGCCCACCCTCTCCACCCAGCCCCTACCCACCCTCCCCACCCAGCCCCTCCCTGCACGACGGACGGACGGACACAATAATCCCCTGTGGGCTGGTGTAACCAGGAGGTTCCTACCAGTATCAGAATCTTTATAAATGGAGGAATCCGATGAGCTATGAAGCTCTTTTTCACTGATGCACAGGAAATGAGCCTGCCGGTTATCACAGGGACACGCGTGTAATGCCACCGCTCTGATGTATAGCTGTGCAGTCTGTTGTGTAAGACTGGGTGCATAAAAATGAATGATGGTCAATGCAATTCAGCATAATGTGCACGCGCCTTTCTGCTCTGCTAACTAAAATAAATTGCTGTCATTGCCATGCATTCGTTACAAATCCTGGTGAAATTTACATTATTTGTAAAAAAAGTCCTTGAAGATGTTCATTGTCCGAGGAAAAATGTAGGCTCTTTTAAATTGGTATATATTGATCTAATTGTATATTACATAGTGAAGAAAAACATTCTGACATTTAATGCCATCGTTTTTTTAAGTGCAAAAATTATTCGGCTCGGATGTATGAGCCGAACAATTTTTGCTGTATTTTAGTGTTCTACAGTTTTTTTTGTTAAACAAAGCTGTTACATCATAATCTATGTACAAATAATATTTTGAGCAATGTAAATTACCTTCTACATCATGTGACCTCCTTGTTCATTACCAAAATATGAGAATAGGTTATCCCTTTTCTGGTAACACAAAAAAGGTGTTAAGATGTTAAAACACCAAACTGAAACCTTTTTACAAGGAATCACGTCTGCATTAACCACAATACTTGTGGTCAGAATGCAAACAAAAAACATACTCTGATAATATATGCATTGTCCTTGAAAATGATTGGTCCACACCAGAGACAGCTTTCTTTTGAGCCTCATCTCAAAACGGTGTTAGACCAGAGGACGCCAAAATGGTGAGACGTGACATCACAACAGTCTAATCCTAATGTTAATTTAAGCTGAGATATTCCTCTAAGTATGGCTTCTCATGTGTATTTCAGATAAAACAATCAAGCAGGGAGAGTGAGTTTGAGACAATGACAGACAGCAGACAGGCAAGCGAAGATGAAGGTGCAGGGGAGGGGGAGGAGCTTGGACCTCGCCCAAATCAGCCAAATGTTAATGTCATACCTAGTCAAACCCTATAAAATAGGACACTCTACTTTCAGGATAAATTGTTTAAAGATTATACTTGGCTCCATTACAGCCCCTCCTTAAAGGGGGCCCTTTGTTTCTATTGTGCTAAATACTTTGCAATACAAAAGCTTGCGGCGAAAGCAGATTCAGCTTTTGTCAAGACTGGCTTTCAAAATTGGAAGAAGGCACTGGAGAAATGTAGTGCGCATAAAGACAGCCAGTGTCACAAATTAGCTGCGATGACTCGGATTCAGGAACCAAAACCTGTTAATGTGCAACTTTCACGTGAGCTTGAAAGACAGCAGCAACAAGTGAGAAGAAATGTTATGAAGATTGTTGGGGGTGTGAAGTACTTGGCACGGCAAGGTCTTGCTTTTCGATGCGTTGATAAGGAGAGTGGGAATTTCAGCCAGCTTCTAAAGTACAAGGCAGAGGGCGATGCAGAGCTGACCACCTGGCTGAAAGGTCACTTTTATTTCACCAGTCCTCAAATGCAAAACGAAATTTGAAGCTGTTGGGCAGTACAATCGTTAAAGAAGTTGTGTCGGAAATAACATCAACGCCAGTGGTCCAGTTCGCACTTGTCATTGATGGCACCCAGGATATATCAGGCGTTGAGCGGGAGTAAATACGTTTGCGCTTGGTGGATGCAGATCAACAACCAAAGGAATAATTCCTGGGACTCTACGAAGTGTCATCAACGACGGCAAAATATAGCCAAGATGGCATGTGATGTGATGATGCGTCTTGGCCTTCCTCTGTCCCATCTTCGAGGACAAACTTATGACGGTGCCGCAAATATGGCTGGACGATTGCAGGGGGTGCAAGCCATTTTAAAGAAAGAACAACCGCTGGCTATGTATTGTCACTGTGGTCCACACTGCGTGAACTTAGTTGCACACGCTGCCTGTGTAGCCTCTTCACTGGTAAGAGAATCAATGGGTCTGGTGCATGAATGTAATCAATATGGCAAGTTCAAGGTGATTTTTCAGGAAATCGCAAAATCAGCATGGTTTCACCTCGTTGAAACCTCTCTGTCCCACCTCTCTGACCCCTCTCCCAAGGAGCGGGGGTCATATCCAGTGCCGGATGAAGCTAGTGCGGGGCCTGTAGCATATGTTATAAAGGGGCCCTAAATTGAAAACAAATATTAAAACACATTTTTAAACTTAATTTGAAGTTTTCGTGACAGCAATAATCCATACTCTGGTTCGCCAAGATTGGAGAAAATTGTGATAAAAAAAATGGAATGGCCTTTCGTCTCCTTGAGTCCTTATACACAATGATGTCTTGGTGCCAACTGGGATTTTCATTAGCACCGATATTGTGAATAGTGGTTTCTACTTGTAAGCTCTGACATATGTAAGTATGCATGGTGCCGAGGACATACGAGCCCAGCGCTGTTGCATCGTTCTTGGCTACAAGCCGCAGAATCTTGTTTTCATTATTTAACTTACAGAGCTGCAGAGCCTGTAACGGAGAATACGACCGGGGCTGGTTGTAAACGGATTTCGATCGGATGTTGTTTCTCAGCAAATGTGACATAGTACAAACCGGCAAGTTTA